AGAAGCCACTTGTGATTTCACTATATGAATTGGTCAACTTTATACTAATAAACGGCAGAAATTGCACTTTAATTGTAAATTAAAACAACACTTTCAATTTATAAACACAAATTAGTCGTTTAAAATTCAATTTCAAATAAGTAAAACGCATAAAAACACAAATTGCACCACACAATGATTTGCTAAAATCCGTTGCTATTATCGAAAATCGATAACTGCGATAACTACAAGTCTAATTAGGTTGTGTTCATACGTTGAGTCTATGATGTAATTACTTTACAATAATTATTTAGCAGCTATAATTGAACTTTTAAATAAAATATATACAAATAAATTAAATATCTTCTAAATTTATTGTAGATATTGGAAATTATAATATAAAAATGAATTAAAAAATTTATATTAACATTTTAATGGTTCACTCATGAACATAATATTGCATATTTTTACTTTCAACTTGTTCATGTAAATATTTTCTTTGTGCCTCCAATTATTTATTTATTATTTACCAAAGGTGTTAGCATAAATTGTATGACGTCATGCGAGGCCTTTGTAGTGCATACAATAAAGCGACAGCTGCTCCACACGGAGCAGGCGCTAATAAGCTGCACAAATAGAATTGGTATAATGCAAATTAAATTGGAAATATGTTTTAATCTCTTTATATTTTGCAATACTTGACATGTGCGTTAACAAAGAATAAGTAAACTAAACAGCTGAAGTGTTTACGGTGCAATATCGGCCACAAATTAATTGGCTCATAGTCAGTTCACATCCTAATAGTGCTGTTTCCAGCCAATTTTCAATGTCATTTGACGTTCTGCTCTACATTTAAGAATAATTTTGTTCATAAAACATATGAATGTATGAGTATGTGTGTTTAGACGCGCTTACGAGTTTTGTAAATAAATATCATTAATCTGCGATTTAGCTGCTAAGTGATGACTTGGCGTAATTGCTAAACATTATTGACAAATTTACTTTTATATCAGAAGAACATCTGCACAAGAGAACTACTATTTTGAAGAATCAGCTTGGAAAGCTCTGCGTTTAATATGAATGAAAAATTGTCGGTATTGTGGAGTGACAGCTGACAGATCCCAATCCACTGGCATTCCATACAAGCAAAATGAAAAATTGCATCAGTGCCACATGTAGGGCGTGCAGTGAAGTAGGCATGAGTAGGACCGTAGAACACCTCCTCAGTCCCTGTCCAGCATTTGATATACCTCGTCATAGATATCGCGGGGTTTCGCAGCGCAAAAGACCCGAGGTGACTTGAAAATTATATATTAAAGATCTATTAAATTTAGCGAAAGGTGTCGACTACTTTAGATCAGAATATGAATTTCAAAAAAGCAAAGAGTCTATAGCATATAAGGCACACCAGCTGGCCAGTTTAACCTAACCAAACTTATTGTATGAATATTTGGTTTTCTAAAAAGTACAGTTGCGCTGTATTAAGCTAATTTCTTTTCAAACACACATATTTGTATATGTATGTTTATATAAAACTGTCATCATTATATTCAATTTAATAAATAATATATATACACACGTATTTATTCATAATATGCCAAGTAATCTTGTTTGTTATTATTCAATTATAAAAACCGATAATACATAGCTTCATATGTACATACATGCACACAAATGTGTTTGTTATGTGTTTATATTACATAATACTGGTGCATGTGTTATAAATTTATATACACCGTTGAAAACTCATACCACGTTACATTATACCTCCTTCATATTGTGTTTATATATATGTATGCATGCTGCTATAGTATAAATATATTGTAAAAAAGATGATTTAATTTAAAAAAAAGTTATAATAATTACAAAAAAATAATATAATAATAGAAACTAATCTCGGTACAGTTTCGAGAAGCTTCTAGAATTCTTTGTAGTTCTCCAAACAGATTTTGACACTTTATACATACATACATATATACATATATGAAATCTTCTTTTTTTTTTTAATATAAAAACCCTTATAAAACCGATTTCCTTATTAAAAATGGCGGCAAACACAAAAACATATTTATTTAAATAAATTCTGCACTTTGCTTTTCTTTTTTTCCTGTCTTGCTTTTGTCTTAAAGAACGACAATAACAAAAACGTGATCTCTTTTTCAGCGCACAGGAAGTTCATTAAACAAGCAGAAAAAATCACGCGAAATACGAAAATGTGCATAACACGCTCAAGTTCAAAATTATGTGCGAACAAATTGATTAAGAACAAACTGAATACATTACTTAGTATATAAAGACGTACCCGCATATAAGCACGTGAATATGAAAATAATATTGTATATAAAAAATACACACATACACATATTCAGTACCCACTTGTATATAATACACACCGCAATGTCGAAAGCTTGAAAAAGTTTAGGCCGAGCTTCTTTACTTGATTAAAGCAGAAGCGGCGTCAGCTATTCGAAGCACAGCGCTCACGTTTAATCACGTTTACAAAATGCAAAGAAATTGTCTTAAAGAAGAATTACCTTTCAGTTAATTCCAGATCTTGCAGAATTCGTTTATTTAATTCGATGGCATTCTTATTCTTCTTTGAGTACTTTTCACAATAGATATGCAACCATTAAAAGGCAGGGCAATTTTATACATTTCGCTTTGCTTGACATGATTTATAAATTGTTCAATACAAAACTGGTGAAATAACAAGCAATAATACAAATGTGCTAAGTATTTTTAAATTATTTTTTTGATTTTCTGGTGCCCGTAAATAAAATGCAAACTTTTGTTTTCAGAGCGGTTGACTTTTCTTACCTTGTAACTACTTGACCTGTCAAAAGGCAAACTTTGTCTGGTCCTTTTTGCTTCTCGCTGAAATCTATTTCCTGAGTGACTTTTGGAAATAGCCTTACTAGAAATACCAAAAAGTATCTACAATTCATTTAGATTTTGCCCAAATAGAGAAAAATACTGATCAAAAGTTCTGTGTAGTTAAACAAATTGAAGGAGTGGGAAGTCGAGAGGGTGAGTAGAAGTTATTAGCTCAGCAAATTTTTAATGCCGAATGATTTTTTTTAATATAATAATAAATGTTTTCTATTTTAAGAAGCTCTCAATAAAAAATGCATTAACCATACACAATTTTCTTTTTAAATTATCTCATTAACATAATTGCTTGTACAATTAAATTAATTGATTTTTTCTTAATAATTCTTTGCATTTTACTTTGTGCAAATTTATATTTATATTTAATTAGGTTATAGTTATATTGTTTGCAGTACAATTTATTAGCATTACATGCATTACTTCCGGTATTTGATTACGCATTGTGAATGGCACACAATGAAAGAAGTAAAGTGAAGTTTGCTTGTGAAATGATGTGTTAATTTTGAAATCAAAAATTTACTGATTTTAATGTGCCCAAATATGTATATATTTTGCTTTTCTTGGCGAAAATTTAGGAAAATCCGATCCATGCTTCTGCTTGCGTTGCATTTTCAGTTTTTTTTTCATGAAAATCGCACTTAAATAAAAAAAATGCTTTATCAAAGCGACAAATTGAAATTTCAAAGGTCGGCAAATAGAACGGAAAGAGAGCTCCATTATGCAATAATTCAATTCAATGCATCATATTAAAAATTGCTTAAGATATTTCATAAACTGCAAGAAAAATATTCCTAAAAATGTACAGCAACCAACCAGCTACACCCCTGCGGTAAGCTCCCGCACATCTTTAAAAAAAAAAAATCACGCTTTTATATTATATTGAATTCTTGCAAGTCTGCGTTATTTTTTATATTCCATTTTTTTTTAAACCTATTTTGTAACGCATTGGCTTTTAAGCCGCTTATCAACAGCACTTTCGCAAGAAACGTGATGTGTACAATTTATATATAATTTGTTGTTATAACTATTTTTTATTATTTTTGAAACAACCAACCATTTGTACATATGTATGTATATATGCGTGTAAACAACAGCCCACACCACACGGCTTTCAATATAATTATTTATAGCAACAAATAGACCCTCTTCTGCCCCTCTCCTCTCACCACTTCAACGCTTTAACGGACTATAATTTTGCACAAACACAATGGCAAAAGTGCAAATGTTACCATAAATCAACATTTTATTTATTATTCATTCTAAATATGTACATACATATGTACATGTGTGTATATATTTTTTATTTATTAATTATTTTACATACATACATACGTTGTCATTTTATAAATAGAACACACACATAACTTTTCCATCCCCATCTTGTCAATAAAAATTTGTTGTTGTGCAGCTATGCAAAATTATGTCAGCTACGCAGCACGTTTCGTCGCATCAGACGGCGTTCGGCTTATCGCAACATAACTTCACGTGATTATTCGATGCTCGTACACCGCATAGCAGCCGCGCCATGTGGACAACCACAGAGTTTGGTGCGCAGTGAGGGACGCGCAGAAGAAATCAGTGACGCACAGCAATAACTCTAATGCAGTGTGTGTGCCGGGCCTCCTGTGTTCGACTACTTACATACATACATATGTGCACACATACCCAATCGGCGCGTCGGCAAGAACTATTGTATATTGCCGTGCGCGCAGTAAGAGATTTTCCGTTTCGAAAAGCGTGCGGCACTAACAACAACAAACACCTAACAGTGCAGAGCATTTGGAAAATAACAAGTGTGCGCATACATACACAGCTACACGCGCGGCACACAGCTACTGTAATTTTCTGCCTGCATTTCGACGATTCTTGGTGCGCTTATCAGCGCTTGCCTGTTTTCGGCTGCGCTCAACACGTAAACAAACAACAGCGTCTGGTGTCAAATCGTAACACACACAAGCAAATAATTAACTGACGGATCATCTCGTGCGCGCGGCATTGTAAGTGATAAGCGACCGTCCCAAGTCTATGTTATTGTACTCGGCCCCAGCCGAGGGTTGTGCGCGGCGTTAGCGCCGACAGCAGCATCCCTCGGTACTATAAGTAACAGCATCAGCGCTGCATTCGAATCAGTATTGAGACAGTAAGCCCAGCGAATCGCTAAGTACAGTGCAAAGCAAAAGTTGTGCCACATTTCAAAAAGGATCTCATAGCGACCAAGCAGAGGCAGCGAAAACAGCTGGACAAAGGCGCTGGCAGAATTCAAACTAAAAATACACAAATAAATATACATATAATGGACAGTTTAAGGCAATTTGTTTTACCAATTTTGGCGTGGCTATTAGCGCTCCAGCAAACACAAGGCTATGGTGAGTGCGCGACTGTACTTTTTCCGCTCCGCATGTTGGACATCAGTGCAATTGTAGATTTTTCTTCTTCTTATTTCATTTATTTTCACACTATACGTTTTATTAATAAACATTTTCTTAAACCTCCCACACACACAGCCATTCAACATGAACCCGCCGAGCGTCGCATGCATCCCGTCTTCAACTTTAAATCCGCCCTGCCGACCGAGCACACCATACACAAACGTGCCATGCCCATGATTAATTTCGATGCGCCCATTGCCGAGGAGGAGTACTCACACTATTGGAATTCGATTGGTCAGAACATCTTGGAGAAGCAGATTGCCGAGAAGGCACAGCTGAATACAAATTTGGCTAAAAATATTATCATGTTTCTCGGTGACGGCATGTCCATACCAACTTTGACAGCGGGTCGCGTTTATTTGGGCGGCGAAGAGAAGCAATATAGCTTTGAACGGTTCCCCTATGTGGGCCTCAGTAAGGTAGGTTTCGCTTTGAATACAGCATAGTTCTTCAGGCCGAGCAGAGTGGGGTGATTAACGAATTTGAAAGCTTATTCTCTATACGCTCATCGGCGTTCCTCAACCTGCTCTCTCTCACTACTTAAATCTACCTCTCTCACTCTTAAGCTAACATTCGTTTCCTTCTTTTACAGACCTACTGCGCTAACACGCAGGTTGCCGACTCCGCTTGCACCGCTACCGCTTATCTCGGCGGTGTGAAAACCAATTACGGCACAATCGGTGTATCCGCAGCCATCGAAGCGAACGATTGTTTGGGCCAAAACAACTCAATACATCACGTCACTTCGATTGCTGCCTGGGCGCAACGACAAGGCATGGCAACAGGGCTCGTCACAACCACGTCGGTAACACATGCATCCCCCGCCGGTGTCTACGCACACGTTGCCAACCGCAATTGGGAGAATGATGCAGAGGTGTTGTCTGATAACGGTGATCCACTCGTCTGCACCGATATCGCTACACAGCTGGTGCACGGTGAGGTGGGCCGCAATCTGAATGTTATCTTGGGTGGTGGACGCAAGCACTTCCTACCCAACACCGTGCGCGAATTGGAGGGCGAGCTGGGTGCGCGCTTAGATGGACACAACTTGATCAAAGAATGGCAAGCGATGCACGGGCGCGACGCGCATTATGTGCAGACACGCGATGAACTGTTGAATGTAAGTTGTAGCGCTTGCATGGTAGCAATCAATAATTATTAACTATATTTCTTTTCCTACGTTTCACTTGCAGTTACCCACCACCACCACACGCGTTATGGGTCTCTTTGGCGCTAATCATATGCCCTTCCATCTGGACGCCGACGCCACGCTCACACCCACACTCGCCGAGATGACTTCGATTGCACTGGACATATTGGAGCGTCAAAGTAATGGGCGCGGCTTCTTCCTATTCGTCGAAGGCGGACGCATTGATCACGCACATCACGACACACTCGCCATGAAAGCGCTCGACGAGACTGCTGAGTTTGATAAAGCTATCAGCTTAGCGCACGCACGCACCGACGTACGCGACACGCTGACCGTCGTCACCTCGGACCACTCACACACCATGTCTGTCGCCGGCTACTCATCGCGCAAAAATGATATTATTGGCGTAAACAACGGTCAATTGGCTGATGATCAACTGCCCTACGCAACGCTGAGCTACGCAAACGGTCCGGGTTTCGATTACAATGTATTGAAGGCGAATGGCGCTATTAAGCGCAAGAACTTACACAAAATAGACATGAAGCGCAAGGACTATCCCTTCCCCTCAATGGTGCCGCTCGAATCGGAAACGCATGGTGGTGATGATGTGGCCGTCTTTGCTACCGGACCATATGCGCATCTCTTCACCGGCAACTATGAGCAAAACTTCCTGCCGCACGCGATGAGCTACGCGGCATGCCTGCAGAGTGATAATAGCGCCAAGCGCTCGGCGTGCACGGATGGGCTATTGCGGGGGCGCACTTAGAGCGCAATAGAGCTTGATAGTCATTAGAGGGGAATTCTTTGGGTTTGGGAGCACCTGATGCATTAGTCTTGCTACAATATTCATTATCATTTACTTAATTTATTAATATTTTTATACTTTTCGTAATATGTGCACGCGTGATTCATAGTCCACTGCAGTAGGAGATCATGTACTTATAGAAATACAATTAAAACTGCTATAATTAAGAAAAAAATAATTAATTACACAACTAAAAGGAGAGTATCCGTCCTCAAGGTGTGCTCTCTATTTTGGAAAAATTCAAATTTGGCTTTCCAATTAATTGCTACCTCAATTACTCGGTATGCGAACCAGCGCCGGTGGTCAATACTTACGTTGAGGGGAGTTCTAAAATAGTTAATATAAAAATAGACTTATCGCTTTTGAACCGCCTCCTATACAGCCGGCACACACAATCAAAAGAGCCTTGAAAGTATGGGCAATGTTCGGAAGCTTTCTGATGTACTTCAAAGCAGTGTTTGAATTTCCCACCCACATCATCGCCACTGCCATTACTAATGGCTTCAAATGGAAGTACACACACAGAAGTTGAAAGCTTAATTCGCAACACGAACGAAAGCTCCTTTCGCCAGCCAAAAAGTTCACTCTTCGTATGAAACACGCTAGCTCTCGTACACTCACACCACAAATTGGCTCACTTAGCACACTCTACAATAGCCTAGTGACAACTTCTTCATAAGCCAAGAATTATTCTTTATTATTTTAACAAAAACTGCCACCAAACTTTAACCCACACCCCGCCAGCGAGTGAGCATGCAGTTTACGCAACGAGCTTGTGTAATGAAGTGTACTTTTAGGAGCACCGACAAAGTGGTACAGCTAAAGAAATACAAATGTATGTACATACATACACACGCATATGTACGTACATATAGAATAAACTAAGCCAATATAATTAAATGAAAAAATAACATTATAATTGAGCAAAGTGTCGGACAAGCGAGTGAGATCAGTTTACAGTCATTTCAACGCCTACTCACATAGCATACATACTCATATGCACATACATATGTATTGTATATACAATAAGCATGAGTATGTGAAAGATTTTATGCTAATGTTTGCTCTCAAACGGGTAGATTATTATGATATTGAATTTTCCCATTTCAAGTGGCCATGCGTCATGCACACATCTCACGGTCTCATTTGTACAAAGAACCAGTTTGTTTTGGCATAGCAAATCAGCTGACTAATGGATTAAGAAGAAATGTGACTATCTCTCTCACATCATCTCAAACTAACGATTGCGCTCTACGGTGGCGGTAGATATACTTTAGACGTTACACATACATACATATATACTGAAACAGTGCGTCATTTAAGTTGTGTTACATACTTTTGTTCTAAGCTGAATGATATCACCGATAAACTCTGGTGGAAGCGGGTGAAATTACTACTTTTGTTGAACCCCTGCGGGTTAGGGGCTCAAGAATTTACCCGCGGTAAGGCATGCCTGTCGTAAGAGGCGACTAAAATCCAATAGTTCCCGCGACAGTCGGGTCTTTATACCGGAACGACCCGAATTTTTATCCGGCCAAGGACTGTCACTCCCGCAATATTCCCCAAAAAGTACTTTGGGGAATAATTTTGCGGTTACAACAACAACAACAACAATTACTTTTATTGCCTCCATGGCGTTTTCTGAACCAAATCCAATGAGTTTATAAACACTTTTGAATTTGTAGCTTCGCTATCCCTTTTGATCTTGTTTCCATTAAAGTCAGTTCTTTCTTTTCCGTCCACGGTCCCCTAAGGACCTTACCAGAATTTTGGCTTTGCAAATCGCTTAAAAAATTGCCTATACAACTTTATTACTTCCTTTCTTGTATTTGTTACAAATATTTATTTTGTAGCGTTTGCTTATTCTTCATTGAATTGTTTAGCCATTCACAATAATCATTTTTTCAGAGTTCTGCACGAGAGTTCCAAGTAAATTTAGTTCGATTTCAAATGCCAATAAATGCTTAAACCGCCTCTCAACACACCAAGTTTCCTTATCGTATGGGTAAGGTTTTGAAATTTTGTGAAACAAAAACTAATTTTTCGAACATTTTCTTCAAATTAAAAATTGTATATCGTGTTATCGCTTTTTAAAACCGGAGTGCAAGTCACTATTTGTTAAATTTTAGTAAATTATAGATTATGGGCAATTTTTACATATCAGCACTTCCATTCACAATAGTTGACGAGGTGATTAGGCAGGTGAAAACACTTTGTAACATTTCAGAAAAAAAATTATATATGATTTGAATTTAATTTTCCATGAATTTTCAGATCGTATAAATTATAATAAGCGAAATAAGTGGTGCCATTGTGAACGTTTCTTGAAGTTTTCGGCAAAAAAATTTTCAAAGAACTGCAAATTATTTTTCTGCTTTGAAAATTTCACATGAAAATTATGAAACAAACAACTTGAAAGCATAGAAGTGGATTTAAATGAGAAAAAAAATTTAAATAAAAATGCGAATATTTCGTTCCTGTGGCTTGAAAAGAAACTAAAAAGTTTGGTTTTTTCCAATTTGAAGATAACTGCTAGACTGTATAAAAATAGCTCAGCTCAAGTTGGCTATGGTCGATGGTCGACTGGACAAGTTCTGAAGCCGTACAGCTGCAAGTATGCTCTTCAACATTTCAGATTTTATGGAAAACTCCCGAATCTGTAGACTATCAATATGATAACATTCCTAACATAAAACAAGCAGAGTGGACAGAGAGGGTTGAAAACAAGTTTCATTGTGAACCGCGTGGTTTTCCCAATTTGCGAAATTAGGCTCTCGCAGGATCCCGCGAAAACTGTTACTAATTTAACATATTTCCGTAGACTGTAGATCCAGGCAAGCGTATTTTATGCTTCCGCTTCTTCTACGATTTTTACTCTACTCTACTCTCCATCCATTCGGATAGCGTGCATGCCGTTGTACATTTTATTTCCTAACACACTGTTAGATAATTTTGTATGCCCTGCATGCGCACACAAAACGGCAATTGAAACAAACATACAAACGAACGTACCTAACTGACAATAGCTTGATTGTTTGAATGCTTACCAACTCACGATGTTGTCTCAAGCCGGCAACCGAGACGCTACCTGTTGCTATTGGCAGTCAGTTCGGCAGTCACTTAGGCAGTCAGTAAGTCAGCTAGGGCGTGCGTTTATATTCAAATACCAGTTGTTTACAAAAAGCCTCCCGCGTCGCACACTCTCCTTGAAGGAACTCCACAACTTCAACACATTGCGTTCATTCAACTTAGTTGCCCACCACTCTCCTTAGCACGTCCAACCGTCCGCCGTCGCTTGTAGGCCATTTATTAGCTGCACGCTCGTAGTTTGCTACTCATTGCGGTTTATCTCTCTCTCTTCTTTCTCTTTAGTTTTATTTTGTTTTATTTTTTTATTTATTTTTAGTTTTGTTATGATTTCGAGTTTTGAGTTGATTGTTGATGTTCCCCGTACGCCGGTGGTTTGTTGGCTTTGTGGTCGCCACGCACTCCCGTTTTAGCCACGGCCATTTGGCCCATTACAAGACGACGTTTTATTCGTTTTGGCTCTTTTTTCTTGTTTATTTTTTTGTCTGTTTGTGTGTCATAATCGAGCCAATGATTTTCACCAAAAACTGAGTTTCATGCGGCGCACAACCTCTAGCCCGTAGTCATTGCCGCTCTGTCAACGCGATCGGGACAAAGGTTTTCAAGCGCGCTACCGAAGTTTCAAATACGAGCTTTTCCATTAGTCGCTGCCTCTAAAATTCTTCACACGCCTCCAGCAGTGTGTGGTGTTGTGCTGTGTTTAGAAGTGCGACATCATCAAAGCACTTTCGTGTCCAAAATTAGCTGCCACAATACATTTAGCAACGCGTTGGCATGGCTTGATGGCGAAAGTTAAATATTTTTTATTAATTTCTCAAGACAAACGGAATTGTTGTGGCGCTTGCGCGGTGACTGTAGTCGTCTCCCCGTCGCCGTCGGGCTACCATGGAAGCGTCGTTACAGTTAAATACACAACGCCTTAAATGTGGCGAGATTTTTGTTTGGGATTGTGTCGGCGAGCTCTTCGCCATCGAATGTTGGCTCTGCGAAGAACGTCCGCTTTGCGCGTTGACCGAGTTTGCTGAGCATATGGATGTATGGCATTCTGATTGGATTGCTGAGGCGTACGCTACACTGCTCGATACGACAACAACGACAACAGCGACAGGCGAATATGAATTATTACCCAAATGCGGAGCACCGAACGCGGAGCATATTAATGAGTGCCCAACAACAGAACAATGGCGAGTGGACGCTTGCAGCGAGAGTGACAATTTCGAAAATGTAGACTCTGAAAACGCAACGCAAGTGGATATGGAAGTGGAAGTGGAGGCTGCGGCTGCGACTGTGGCTGTACCTGAAAGTGGGTCAGAGCATGACAACACAATAGTGAGTCGGCTGAATTTTTATCGCGTAGTTGTTGTCAATCGTCATTCTTGTTCTTTTGTTTTTGTATTAATTTAAAAAAAAAAAGGTTTTCGAAGCCACAGCGAATGCGGAGTTACGGACAGGTGTCTGCACCACCGCTGAACCCTATACATTGTGTCTACAGCGCACAGAGGTTAAGCTATGCGAGACGCGCAACGAAACCGAGTTTGTGGCGCAAGTTCAGAAGAGCGGAACGGCCGATACAGCGAATGTGGTTGTGAGAAAGCGGGTTGAAGTAAGTCAAATCTACATATTATCATAGTTCTTCATTTTACTTTGTGTGAAAACGAGTTCGTGTAGTTTACCAAATGATTGGTTGAAGAATAAATTTAGTTTTTGATACAAAGCAAAGCGCTTTTGCCTTTACGGCGCTGGGCGAGGTTGAATGAGGTTATTTATTAGAGATAACGCAGCTCAAATATGAGGGCAACGGCTTGCGTAGATTAGTAAGTAACGGTTCAACTCGTTTCCCAGCACTTCCACGATGGTGGCGACTTTTCTAAGGCCTATGTAAAAGAACCACATATCCAAGCCCTAAAGGCTTCCTCACGACCAGCAAAGAGACCTCTTAAAGCGAGACGATCGAAAGGAATAATTCCTTCCAACTTCGTGATAACCTCTCTCCCTGTTCCATTTCATCCGATTAAACAATGAACAGTAAGATATCCAAGTATCTTCAACATAATTTCCCTTTCGGAACATTGGTCCACTGAACTTATTCAAACTATTACCTTCTCGGGCTACAAGTACCTTTCATCTGAACTCTTTCACAGAACTCCATCGAGCAACGCCTGAAAACCGACAAACTAATACAAATCTACGAAAGATTTCCTGAACTCTGGCATAAGGAGCAACGAAGCCAGTTTAAAACCGGTACGCAATCCAAGGCATATCACAGCATTAGCCGTGAACTTAACGAACACGGTATCAACCTTAAGGCCTCCGTGGTACAGAGACGTCTCAATGCGCTACGAAAACTATTTCGACTCGAGAAACTCGAAGAGCTAAAGAGTCAATTGGAAGGTCGCACGCATGAGAGTTCATTTGAATATTATGCCCAGCTGCAATTTTTGAAGGACCACATCGAGCCGCAACTGTGTAAAGCTTGCAATCGAATATGCAAAAATGCAACGGAATGTTGTGGAGGCGCGGAGGAAGACAAGAAATTAAATAATGATGACATAGAGTTGAGAGAAGGCGCGGTTAAAGCAGAAATTGAGGATGACCAATTGTGTCACGTCGAGGAGGATGTGCACACAGAACAAGTTGAAGTAGCTGAAGAAGAGAAAGAGGAAGACGTGGGTGAACTGGCAGAGCAAGCTACAGAGACGTTGGCAGTGGAAGAAATACTGACTTCCCAAGAAGCTGAAGAAGTACTCGAAAGTGCGGTTGAAGCTCCTCTCGAAAATACGCAAACAAAAGAGTCGGTGCTGTGTAGCACCGAAGAAAAGACAACAGGAGAGTGCAGGACCGTTAACCAAGCAGCTAATGAAGACATACGTGAATCAATTGATAACTTGGAAGGCGATCATATACAGCATACATTGTCGGCGAAACCAAGTACGGCTACACTTTCTCAGACAGCCGAGCCAATACTACCGACAAGTCCCAGCAGCTACATACTTGCTGAGAATGATGAGTCTGTAACAACTACAAGCTCCTGCGAGCCGGTAGCTCTTGAGAATAGCGAACCTGTGGAACGAGTGACGAGGCGCGCTCTGAGAAAAAAGAACAAAATAGAAATTTTGGAGGTGCTAGAGCTGCCGAACGTTGTAAGTATTTCTAGGCTAAGTTTTTTCAATGGATTGCTGTAAAATTCAAGGTTTTCCTACATCACAACTTTAATACACAGCAGCCGGAGGTGAGCACAAGCTCGAGCCAGCAAGCAGCAGCTGGCGATAACAATTCAGATGAGCTTATAGCCTCCGAGGAATATGACTCGTCAAACGGTGACTCGGGTATACTACGTGATGTGAGTACGCGTTCTTTTATTTACAGAGACTTGAAGTTACCAAATTCATCCTCTTCTTTTCAGTGTGACGACAACAACGCTGCTAAAATTGAATCCTTTGCGCGACTCACGACCGAACAAGCGCACAAATTAATACAACTCTTCGGCAAATATCCGATGCTATGGGACCCTGATCACACCGACTTTAGACTGCGCGAGCGACGACGAAGGGCCTGGCGTGAAATGACGGTACAAATAAATGAGCTGTACGGCATGCATTACACATGGGTGACACTGCATCGCAAAATGAATGACTACATCAAGTACTACAGACGCGAGCGACGACGCATCGAGCTGGAGGGCGGCTCTACGCGTTGGTGCTTCTACAACGATTTCACCTTCCTTGCTGGGGTGGTTAGTATTAACATGGCGTCACTCTTAGTTCAAGTCTCACAAAACTCTCTTCCAGTTGGTCGATCATAGCATCAGTGAACCGAAACAGTTGTGGAGCAAACAGCAAAATATGAAAATTATTGAAGTCTACGCAGCGCATCCTCAACTGTGGAATATTGAACATCCGGACTTTAAACGTCGACGCCTGCGTCAGAGCTTTTTTCGAGTAATGAGCGAACGTCTATGTGCTGAGCATGGAGTAAATCTCGATGCGGCTAAGGTGAAGCAACGCGTGGCCGAGTTGCGCTGTGCTTTTCGCTTGGAGAAAGAGCGTCGCACAGCTGCTGCACAAAAGGGAGAAATATATGAATCCAGCTACGACTACTACCAACAACTCAGCTTCCTGGAACCGCACATAGCGCCATTCACTTGCTCGAAGTGTAACGTGCAGTATAAGAAACGCAGCGAAATGGAGCGACACAAGCGACACGAGCACTGCAATAAAAATAAACCGATGAGTTTAACAAGCGCACTACCGACCGTCGAGAGCAAGAAACCCGATACACTTGACAATATCTGTTATATTTGCGGCATGAGTTTCAAACTGAGTCGCAGTCTCGCCTGTCACCTCAAGCGGCACACAAATCAGCGTAAACACCCCTGCTCCCAGTGTCCGAAACGCTTCTTCGACGGTGCCTCGCTGCGCCTACACGAACGCTCCCACACCAAGAGTCGGCCATACGTTTGCGACCAATGCGGCAAGAGCTACGTCAGTGGCGGTAAGCTAAATCAGCATATGAAGCGGCACACCGGCCAGCGTGACTATCCCTGTGAGATCTGCGACAAAGCCTTCTACTCGTCCTTTGAATGTGAACGCCACATGCGCACACACATGAATATACGTGAGAAAGTGTGCCCCATTTGTGGTAAAGACTTTGGTGTGGGCTCTAGCTACTATGCGCATATGTTGCTGCATTCGGACATCAAGAAGTACCAATGTGGGATGTGCTGCAAGCAATTTGCACAGTTTGCGGGCTTATACAAGCATCGACGGCGCTACCATCCGGCGGAGTTCGCCAGTGAACGGGCAAAGAAGAATATCCCGGTTGCTAGCGATGCGGAGGCATGTGCTAATTAATATGAACGGAGAGTTTGCCCAAGCTCTAACAGCTCCTTGGAACGTCATGAAGTAAGGCGTCATCGATGGTAGAAGCGTTCATCTCAAAGCACACTTAAGTAACTATTTTAGTTGAAAAAGCTTTTCCATCCCTCAGCTCCCCGCAGGGAGGGTACCAGAGACTGTTCCCTGCGTACTCCTGCATCTAAAAATGTAGTTGAAATCCTTCAAAAAAAATTCAGTCGCTCAAAACCGCACATTACCAGTGAGCAAAATATTCCTCTAGTTAAAATTTAGTATATAAAACGCACAAAATAATCAGAAATAAGTTCCAGTTAGTCAATAATCGAACAAATTTTAGAAATAATTTGCCTGTAGCACATTTTAATTAGTAAATAAAAATAATGTGTAAAATTTTGCACTCTCATATGAAGTGCCGCCAAGAGCTTATTCATATGTAATAAATATGTTTGTAGGTAGATATTTAAAATTAATGTTGAACATTAAAAAAAATGTTTGCATAATCTATTTGGAGAAACGCTTCTGCTGACGCAAACGATAAATGTCATTGGCGGGCGGCGCCGGTGTTTGTGTCTCCTCGTCACTATCATCGCCGCCGGGCAGCATGCGCCGCCGCTTCAGACTGCCCGCATCGCCAGTGCAAATGCTGTCATCGACAATCCAATGCACGGATTTGGCCAAATCGAAGAGCTTCGTGTCGCAGCCATGGTCACCAACTGGTAGTGGTACGGCTGTTGAAAGAAGAAACCATTTAAATAAAATATATGTGAAAAATCTGCATACTCCGTGGAGTAAAAACGCACCGTCGGGCAACTTAATGCGATTAAAAATATCGAATAGCATTTCAATGGAGACGAATGGACCACGGAAGGACACCGGCGGCGGCAGCTGTGCACAGAGTGATGCCAATGCGGGTGGTTGTGGAAATGTGCCGCCTGCTAGCGGATGTTCACCGGGATGCGCATTGACTTTCGGTTTGTAGGGCACCATTTGTGAGAAGTCCGGCCGCGGTAGTGTGATCACTTGCTCCACATCCGGCTCATCGGGCTTAGCGTTGGCGTTGGCGGCGAGCGCGTTTTTATTCGTCATAATGCCAACATTCTGTCGTGTGAGCGAGAGAGAGAGAGAGAGAGAGTTAGTTACAAATTTCCTATAAACATACATATAAGATGGAACGTTAATTGTTTTTTGAGGATAAAGGCAATTTCCTTATTTTATTTGCTGTTAAACTTATTTTACATTATACATATAATTTAATTCAATTTCATTTTTATTTTATTCAATTAATTTTTTATTTTTATATATTATTTCATTTTTTCTTTTTTCTTTTATTTTATATTTATTTTTTGGTTTTATTTTATTTTTTTATTTTGTTTTATTCTTTTTATTTTCTTTTATATTATTATTTTTTTAATATTTTTGGGTTTTATTATTTTTTTGTTTTTACATTTTTGTTTTTTTTTAATTATCGTTTTTTCAAATTTTTATTTTAGTTTTTGCATTTTTTTTTTTTTTTAATTATCGTTTTTTCAAATTTTTATTTTTTTGTTCTTACATTTTTTTTTTTGTATTATGGTTTTTTTTTTAATTTTCATTTTGTTATTTTTATAATTTATTTAATTAATTTTTTTAATGTTTAATTTTTTCTAATGAATATAGCTTAATTTCTTTTTATTTTATACATTTTTTTTAATTTGAATTATTTAATTTTTTATCTATTACTTATTTTTTAATCTAATATTTACCTTTTTTATTTCATTTAATTTTTTTATTTCTATTCTTTTACATTTATTTTATTATTTCCTTTATTGCAATAAATGTTTAATATTTTTTATTTTTTTTAATTTTTTTTTAATTCAATAAATTTTTTAATCATTCATTTTATTTTTTATTACTTTTTTCATATTTATTCATTTTCTTTGATTGAATTGCTTCTTTATACATAAGTACATACATGTAATTAAATTTTGCTTTACTTTTTTATTTTTTATTTAATTAGTTCTACGCCATTTAGATTAATTTATTTTATTTGGTTTTATTAAAAAAAAAATTCAATTAAGATACTTTATTTTTTTGTTTCTATTTATTTTATTATTTATTTATTTTTACTTATTTTTTAATTAAATTATATTTTACTTTAATTTTCTTATATTATTTTTTTATTATTTTTAAATTTATTTTTTATTTAATTTTTTTTTTTATTAATTAATTTTTTTATCTTTTAAATTTTATTTAATTTTACATTAATTGCATTATCTACCTATTGCCGTTACTTACGTATATTTCTAAAATTTTCGGCATATGCAAAATTGAAACTTCAATAACGAACGCCTTCAAATACTTAAAAATAAAAATATACAATGCCAACTCACCTCTGTATAACCAATGGAACGCAGTTCCACACTTGTGCATGGATATAGGTCCAAAAATTTGTAACGGTCCACCAATTGTGCAGTCTCTTTGCCCTCATACTCTTTCAACTGCAAAAAAAGGACGCAAATTCTTCCTTGATTGTTAAAAAAAATACAATACCGTTACTTACATTCTCCAACACCGCGCTACGACGCCGTTCCACTTTCACAATACTTGATAAGTCGCCTATATTCGACTCGAATTCCAAAAATCGATTCCACACATCAACACTCAGCGTCGGCGTTAAGCCACCTGAGGAGAGCACGCGCTCGAATAGCACACGCGTATTGTTATCCTCATTTAAATGTGATAAATAATCAATGTAGCACATGACATACTCCGGACTGCCGCCAAAACGTTTCAAGCCCAGTTCGAAAATACGAAAGGCAATATCCTTATCCTTCGAACAGTAGTATTCCATCAACGCTGCAGCAACAAAGACATGATAACGTGAGCGCACATCCTCACGCGCTTTTTTGAAGACGGCACGCGCCGATTTGATGCCTTCAGCGCGACGCGCAAACTTCATATATTGCACATAGGCCTGAGGTACAGTAAATAGGAGATAGGAGTTTGGAAAATGTAATTTTTGTATTAAAATTAAAGTACACTACTTACCAACGTTGGATCAATGTCCGGTATGGACAACAGTTTATTGTACATAGCATGAACTTTATCATATTTCATACGTCCTTCCTCGAAGTCAGCGTAAGCAAAGTACAGTAGAGCGTTTTTATTCAATACGCCATTAATGGAACGCTCCAATATATTAGCACATTCATCGCCAAAAATTTTCGCCGCTTGTGTATCCTGTATGTGGGAGTAGAAATGATTTAACAAATTTTGCATTTTTCGGGAGATTAATTCACAACCTTATCGGTATAAATAAACGCAATAAGTGGGCGATGTCGATGGAAGCATCAAATCAGTTGTATATGTGGTTAAAAACAAATATAACCGTAAAAATTGTTACACATATAAAAATCTTAAAAATTATTATTATAAATTATTTGATTTTTTACAATACAACTGCATTAATACAACCACGCATCTTTCGGTAGATAATTTAAAATAAAAGAAATTTGTTAAAAATTCGGTGTTGCGTTTAGCACGCAGCACACAGCGATTTATTGGCAACTTTTTATGTAAAACTGAGTTTTTGCAAAAGTAAACACTCTCTCGTAAATTTCTCCATTTAAAAGACCACACCAAAGACTGTAGCGACAACACAAAACTCCTTTTGTGGCAGCTGTGAAATTTTAAAAATACATTTATATGCTTATGCAACAAAATACGCACGCCTTTTTCTGCCAATGCTTGAGCGCTTTGATCAAGATACTGTGCTGCCTGATGCCAAACGGCTGGATGATGTGTGAGCACCAGCAAACACTGCTCTGTAGCAAACATAACGCGACGTGTTATGAGTGCGGTGTCCTCCGTACGTAGCGGATTGGACTTTTCAAAAGCAATAAATTTTTTCCATAAATCAACCTGAAAAATAAAATAAAGTAATTAAGTAGGTAGACACGGAATGGTTACGTTATTTTAAGCACACTCACCTGCTTCATTTCTTCTTTGGATAGTGTTGGCGGCACTGCGGGTAAATTACGATTTAAACCTTTGGTTAGAATTTCCAACTCTTTAGCAACGCGTCGAGCATTCATATAGTCCCTAAATTAAAGAATTTTCTTAATATCATATACGCAAGCAAAGTATGGTTTATGTAGTAATTACTTCGAACGCTCTAAGCTCATCTTTTCCGATATAATGGGATTAATATTATGCTCGAATGCAATATAGTCTTTCCACAACTGCTCTATGCCCACAATAGGTGTGATCACTGCTTTTTGATATACTCGTCGAACGGCAGTAATTTTCTGATTTTCAGCATAACTGCCTACAGCCTCCACACTACGTAGAAAATGTATGTAGTCTTGCCATATTGAAAATGAATGCAAGTCCATGCCGATTTTTTCTAAAGCAAAATCATAAGCCTGTGCAAGCTTTTCTCTTTACAAAAAATTTAAGTAATAACAGTATTAATGTAAAAAAAATATCAAAATAATATAAATAGCAACCTACTTGTGAGTACTCAAGCCAGCTTTGGTCTCCTTAACATATGTCAAATATAATTTCCACAAATCTATATTTAAGATTTTCACCAATGAACGTTGAAATAATTTTTCCACACGTTCAAAATTTCTACCCTTCATCTCTTGTTCTATGTAAATCTTCCAATAACGTGCTGTTGTTGGGAATACATTCACAAGCGACTCGTATAAGCTGCGCACGTCATTTACTGGCCGCGTTTGTGCTTCCCTCAGCAATACAGACCAAGATTCGATGTCGTAGGGCCGCATCTCTACCACCTGTTGTGAACGTACCAAACGTTCGTGTCCCCATTCCTGCAAATAATATTGATAATAAATTTCTGCTGTTATTACAACGTAGTAATTTTACTTACTATATCTATTTTAATTTGATCCCGCACAGACATTTTTGTGGCCGCTTTTCCTTAAGTACCAAAGCACGCGATTGCTATTTACAAAATGCGTTGGTATGATCTTTTATTCGGTATTTTAGACCTTTCAGACACAAATTTTCCAAAAATAAATTCACTATTGATGCATATAAATATTTTATTCGTGAAATTATTGATTATATTTTTATTAAGCGTGTAAAATTAGGAAACGCCGCAAATTGTTAGCAAAAAAAAAACCAAACGTCACAAATGTCAAAATAATCTACCAAACGTCACAAATGTCAAAAAAATCTACCAAAGTCACCACTAAATACATGTGCTGCCATACAAAAAGTTCTTGGCAATCGAATTAAGTTTTCACCCAAGAACGTATGTCAAAGAAGATATCCAAAAAACGTAAATTAATTCATATGCGTTCTTTAACTTATCATATTCATATGCGTAAATAACATATTCACTTTTTCGGTGAGAATTTATATATGTCGTTCAATTATATATATTTTCTAGTGAAACGCGCAAGTTTCGGTCGTAGCGACCATTACGACAATCGAAAGAACTTGGTTTCATTTTAAATACGTGCTCAGCATTATACGTCCTCTTTCACTTGTTAAAATACGCTCTGCGGAGAGTTCTTCGACTGTAAAACTCATCACACGTATGGCAGCACTTCACATGCAGTAGGAACGATATGGCCACTCTGTGCGCTGTGCGAAACAAAGAAAATGCCAGGAAATGAAAAAATTGACGGATGATTATGATTTAAAGTAAAGACAGAAAGTGAATGAGACGTCGCGTTTGAATTAAAATTTCAATTAAAAAACTGCAGCGTTGGGTAAAAAGATTGTTCACACAGATAAAAGGGAAAATAAACCAGGATAAAGTGCATCATATAAGAATAAGAAACGATACCCTTGAAAACAGCCTTTGGAAATCAAAAACGTATGTTCATTTGTATCTGAAAAATCAAGTGAAAAATTGCAGGGAAAAGGGAGCGGAAGCAACAGAACAGCAAAATTAACGTCGTCGCTGCTGCTGTTCGCATCGCTGCCACCGAGTATTCGCAGTGAACGTTTTCATACATATGCCATACGCGGTCTGCTACGTAGACGCTGTGCATGTGCTGTTGCCTTCTTACGTCGCAGTTTACAGAGTAAAGTGCTAAAAAAGTGTGTGAACGCGGGTATCGGAGGCTTTGGTGCTGGTCACTTGACACGAGAAAAAATTTACAGAATATTAAAATAAGAGCAGCATACATATTCGAATCGTAAAAAATTAAGGGGCAGCGTGTAAAGAAAGTTCACACGGCAATGTCGGCATATTGCCGAAATTAACAGTCACCCACCGCCAACCGAAAATCGCCAAACACTAGCAACAGCAAAGGTGCCCAAAGACATCAGCGTTATATCCACAAGCAAAAGAAATGCACCACAAACTTCAGTAAGAAACTCAATTTTGGGCACGTTTGGCATATCATATACATGTATATAGCAGAAATTCTTCCAATTTAAACGTAGACGCTTGTACCCGACAGCACAAGTCCAAGCCTCACACACCCATTAACGTCGAAAAGCTACCGCCAGCCACCCCTCACATTGCAGAGCTTATTGGACATCTTATCAGTAGCCGCTAAAGAACCACTGTCGACCGCTGTTCGTACAAATTAACGATAAATCTTAACACACACTAAAGTATAAATATATCATAATACAGTGAAAAATCTACAATAATAAAAAATATAGAACAAGAAATTAAAAATCTACGATAATACACGCGATTCCTGTTTACTTCTACAGGAATACTTATATATTTTGTCCGTGGCATTTGTCGGTGGGTGTTTTGTTGTCACTGCTGCACGTCGCATGAACTTAACTTGCTGGGCGTTACAATAACATAACTAAGCGATATGGCACGCGGCTTTGACCATCTATTTAAATTATTAATTATAGGTGACAGTGGTGAGTATTGACACATTCTTACATTTGTATGTAAGTGTGTAAAAGTTTCTCCTAAATATCTAATAAAAAACATTTATTTTATTCACCTATGCATGCTAGGCCCTCCTTAGGGAATTTAGGTCAAAAATGGAATGGCATGACTTGATTGCAATGCATCCCGGAAAAAAGCTAATTATAGCGAATCTCAAAAGAGAAAACAAAACTGTAACAACAACATATGTACATACATTATGCATACCACATTACCGGCATACATATGCAGCGTCGCGCCGCGTCAACTGCCTACATACAGCACAAATGACTAATTCTAGTCGCGCTGGTCATTGGTCGGTGGTTGCTTGTTGACTTGCTGGCGTATTTTGGCGGCTCTTGTTGCTTTATCTTTCTAGTGTTCGTATGTGCATAAAGTTGTTATAAGAATATTGTTTGAAGAAAACAAAAACTAAAAATATATGGAATTTCTACTAAACATTATTTTCTCGAAATCATGCAATTCTATATAATTCAACTTAAATAATGATTTCCATGCTAAATCTGCGCTAACGTAATGCTATATTTGTATAAATGCCTGCGCTTACTCATTTTTGCCTGAATGAACTGAGTAGAAGCAAGTCTAAACACTACTTAACCTGTGACACTTAGTGGATTAGGCGCAGTCAGACATTAGCACATACATATATACTAATTTAAGTGTGCCATTTCAACAGCAGTTTGTTGGTCAACTTACTTATTTATTTATTTATTTTTTTTTTTTTTTTTTGTCTACATTCTCTTCTATCACTTTCCATTTCGTGTTTACGCTTCTAATTATTGTTTAATTTAATTTTATTTTTGGCACCACGCCACGCCACGCTTACAGGTGTTGGCAAGTCATCATTACTGATACGTTTCTCGGACGACACCTTTGCCGGCACTTACATAACGACCATTGGCGTTGATTTCAAGATACGCACCGTCGTCATCGATGGACTGCGCATCAAATTGCAAATATGGGACACTGCCGGTCAGGAACGCTTTCGCACCATAACGAGCACCTATTATCGCGGCACGCACGGTGTGATTATCGTGTACGATGTGACGAATGGTGAATCGTTTGCGAATGTGCGCCGTTGGTTGGATGAAATACAGAATAATTGCGATGTGGTCAATAAGGTGTTGGGTAAGTGTGGAGAAAAATTTAATTTTGTTTTTACCATAGATTTTTTTAATTTATTACCATTATTTCATACTACAGTGGGCAATAAGAATGACGATCCCGATCGGAAGGTGGTCATCACGGAGGATGCGCAACGTTTTGCGCGCCAAATGGATATCGAGCTGTTCGAAACATCCGCCAAAGACAATATTGACGTAGAGGAAATGTTTCTCGCTATCACACGACAGGTGCTGCAGCATAAATTGCGTAACGCACAAAATGAACAGCAAAAGGACAGTATCACTTTGAAGAAACAACAAAAGAATAAACGAAAAAGTAAATGTTGCAGTTGAAATGGACGTGTGCTACATTGTCGCCACAGTTACAGCCGTCAACACCACCACCACAACCAACAACAGCAACAGCGACATGGTTTTGTGTAGAACGCGCAATAAAACCACAGTACTCAGCATATTTTAAAAATATATAGTATATACAAATATATAAGAAAGCATATACCACATACACATACGCACGTAAACGGAAGTACGTGCATACGTATGTATATATGTATATATGCATTTAAAAAAAATGCACACAAATATTAACCCATACATATTAATGTATGTATGTATGTATGTACGTATGTATTGTACATTGGTGCATACAACATTTGCAATGAAACAACAATGATGTTGTAGTTGTTGTGTGTGTATGTGTGTGTGTGTATGCGTTGTAAAAAAGGCACTTTTTATATAACGAAAATAGGTTTGGAAAATGTAACAACAACAAACTGAAATAGCATACATAAGCGGAGAAATGAAATCACACCAAAACAACAAATGCAGCGGACTGCAATAGCAATAGCATTTTATAAATACACACATGCATATAGATATTTACGTACACATACATATACACGCATGTATGCAATAGAAGTATAAAAAAAAACATACATGGTTTATACAAAACATATACCCATACACACATGCATACTTATATTATATGAAAATATGTATTTTTGTATTTGCTGCAAAAATTAATTTGAAAAAAAAAACCTTCGAAATTACTCATTAATGAATTGATGCTTCATTTGTATGATTTCATTTACCACCTTCTTCTTCTTCGTTCTTAAGTAACAAGTGTTTTGTTATATTTTTCTATTATTTAGTTATTGCTGCATCTCTTTCAAACCGGTATTTATTTTGAGCATAAGTAACACACTCGTTTATAAAACTGTATTCAATTATTAGTAAAAAAAAAAACAAATAAAATAAATTAAAAAGTAAAGTCTACTAAATATAAGTGATATTACGTCTTACCATGTCTAAAACAAAAACAAAAATAAAACCAAAATTTTGTATTTATTAAATATACAATTAAATGTGTAAGTATATATGTACATAAATGTGATTTATATTGAGCGACTCGGTAACATCCAGCGGAGGGAACTTTGGAATTCACCACACCGGGAAGGGATTCACCACACATTATATAACAGCCACTGTAAAAGTTAGCAGAGTTATGAAAGTGATTTTCTGCTAAAAACAGAGAAATGTTATTGAATTATTTTTTTCAAATTAAAGCAGATTGTGATTTCGTTGCTGATGTTTTCTGCTGTGCCACCCCTCTCACGTGTACCCATACTGCCAGCAACACATTTTTTTTTCACGCAGCATAGAGCGAACAGAACATACCATGGGTATGAGTACATATATATATATATATATATATAGATATTTTTTTTCGCATGCTATTTTTTAATCGGATAAATGGTAGAATTCAACATTTGCCCAACGGACGTACTATTGCCGGTCAGGGAATGTGTCTAGGAGCTTTCCGCACTTAGACTTGAATTACCTAAACCTAAGCGGGGTTAGATCACTGAAAGGGTGACAGCTGGATAAAATCCGGATTATGTCCGGTGTGTAGAACCGGCTGTCGTAATAGTTGCGGCCTTAAGGTACTCTCTTCCTGTGTCCTCGGAATCCAAACACACGAGTAATGCGGGCACAATTAAAATCTGGACACTGTAGTCGACTTAATTCCTACTTTTGCGGACTTGACCTCAATATAGTACTCAAAGTATGCCCAGCAGACAATGAGACCTGCACGACACTAACCACCTCTTAACATGCCCTCTAGAACCATCCGATCTAACCCCACTTTTTCGTTCGGACCAGAGAACCCGTTTATTAGACCACTAATTGACTTGCACTGAACAAAATGCCTTGCCATATGCGCATTAGATATCAGTCACAACTCATTTCCAAGTAGGATGTTTGGACGGAAACAATAATGAAGGTAAAGAAGGCTTTTAGTTCCTAAATACTCATATTCTTGTAAAGGATATGGAGTCAATCCTGTCAACAACAACTACGGAAATTGTTGTAAATTGTGAAGCAAAAAATAATTTTAAATTTTAATTTAAAAATATAAATTAAATTTATTCAAAAAGTTACATAAAGCACAGCGTTTGAACGGTAAACACATTTTTTACATTGTTTTTTTTTTACAAAAAAAAAGAGAGTATTAAAATTAAAAACATAAATAACAGGAAATAAAAGTTCGATTAAACAATTTGAAACCTGCGAAAGGTGTAAAGATCCAAGTTCGAACTGTACACACTTCCGGCACACGCGCACATTTGGCAGTTAGAACCTCTTTACGCATCGAGCTACACCAGCTTATTTGCCGCATTGTGTGCAGCCATCATATTTGGCAACGGGAAAGGCGCGTGTTTGACGACATGACACGAGAGCATCCCCTGAGTAGCCAGGTGGGCATTTGCACACAGCCAAATGGGCCTTTGGTTCACATGTGGCGCCCGAAGCACACTTACCAATGCAAGGGTTCACGCACTGATAGTTGATGCAGGCTTTGTTGTCCGGGCACTCGCTGTTGCTGAGACATTCACCCTGCATTTTGGAAAAAACAAATAAATACGAGATAGATGCATTTAAAGATCACCGAAACATACTCTCGAGCAATGGGTTAGCGGATTGCCGGTGTAACCTGGCAAACAGTTGCAGACCGGACGCTCACGACCTGTGTTGTCATGACCAGGTATGCAAAGAGCATTTGTACCGCAGGGATTTGGTTCGCAGAGATCCTCTGTCAATTAGAAAAAAAAAATATGTATATATATCAGTCATAAGACCTCTACTAAATCACACCACACACACACACCCTTCGTGAATGGGCGACAACGCACAAACGGATCGCCAGTCATGTCACGTGGACAGCTACAGACGGGTGTCAAACCGCGCAAGTTGCAGTCAGCGCCGACACCGCATGCACCATCACATGTATTCTTGCAAATGCCGTAGAAGCAAGCCGGACGATTGGATGGACAATCGGAATCGCCATAACACTCGGGACGGCATTCGGTGTATGGTGAACCAATGTAACCCTTGGGACATTCACACACAGCGCGATGTGCTGAGACCGAGTTACAGGTGGCGCCAATACCGCATTGCTGGCAAGCGGGTACACATTTGTAGTTACTGCAGGTATCGCGTGCGCTGCAATCTCCATCGTGTTCGCACTCATGGCGGCAGCCACTAAGAGGATTGCCCTGCACCGAAGAGAGATATTAAAAGATAGTCATTATGTGGATCGTATTGAGCTTACCGTAAAACCATGTATGCATGAGCAAGTTGGCACACCATTTATGATCTCGCATTTGGTATTGATGCCACATGGGCTTGGATGGCATTGTTCATCTGTAAGGATATGAGGGAAATTAGTAATTCATAAGCAAATTATCGAGCACTTCAATTGGTTTTTAAGAGGATTCCCTCCTTATGATAACAAGATGACGATCTGGAATGAGTGTTAACTTCTAAAGTTTCTCAAAAAGTACGAACCCGGAGACTGAACCGTAACATATTCTGACACCTCAGAGACGGAGTGAATAGTTCAAACTTTCCATTTACAAGCATCATTTCGTCGGATTTTATATAAAAGTTAACTAATGACGTGCGTAGATCTTCCCATACTAATATTAAAGTGAAGGAATATTCGATCGGTTGACCATTCCATTCCATATGCACTTAAGCAGCAGACTTCGAGTTCATTTTTGGTAGATTGTACCCGCCATAACATTGTTAAAAAAATTTTTATTTTTATTTTTAAATAAATTTTTTCTGTTGTCACCAAGTGTCGATATCATTAAGAATTATATTTATTTACTTGCGCGTAAGAAATGTAGCGCTTTATCGCCGATCAGCAGCTGGCAGCTTCAACCTATGACGCCTCTCATTCAATATACATAGTAGGTATGTACGTACATACACGTATGTGCTTTTTGCCGCCAACGCAGACGACTATAATTCGTATGAAAAGTGGTGAGCTCAAAAATCTCATTGCTGACCAGCGCAATTAAGCGAATCGCTAAAATATTTTGCCTTGATGCTACTCCCAGCTATTTCGTACAGAGCGAAAACGCATTTTTGCAATTATAATAATTTTAGTGATGGAAAATACATGTACATATGTACATACATATATATATATAACTTAAAATATTTAACACAAGTTATAGATTTTTGCTTTTAACTGCTTGTAGTGACAGGGAAAAAATTATAAATTTATTAATTTGCCAAATATGAAGGTGAACCGGAACCAACAGCTGATTAGCCGAGGTAAGTGACAGCGCCGATCAGTTTTGTTGCAAAAAGTTTTTTGTTTTAATTCAATTTATATTCGTTTGTTGTTGCTTGGCATAAGAATACTTGGCGCCAAGCTTGCTTTCTGATGTTTACGTTGAGTAAATAGTGTAATCGCGCCATAAATAGTCAATCAACTATCTCATGTTACCAGTAACAAATGAATTTCTCGAAAAATGTAGATGTAAAGGCGGCAAATGCGCGACCAGCTACATATGTGGGCCGACACGGGAACCAAGAAACTGCGTTGTGTACATATCCGCTCTGCCATTTAAATATATTACATATTTATATTTATTTTCCACATATTACACACTCAAACCGCTGTTTATAAACAATAAACAACACTAACTTCTATTTATGTTTTACGTCGCATAGCTTGTAATTATGCAATACTTGCTTATTTTCCAATTTGTTGTTGTTGAATTATGCATTATTAATTCTAAGCACCTACACAAATGATTCTTATATTTTTTGCCAACCAAGATCAGGGTCAAATAAACTTGTATTAGCGCAAAAAGTTGTTTACAAACAAATTTTATAATTTAAATTACTTTTTGGCCCGGCAGAGATGTGTCAGCCGTGCAACAGGGCGTATGAGCGACATTCTTATTATGCACAGGGCGCTTCATATGGAATTTAATACAGGGTGACAATGCACTTTTTTATATCAACCTCCACACTAATAGTGTTGTTATGCAATTTGCAACACGTGTGTCTTATTGCATTTCCGTCTTAGTAGAATTAGTAAACACATTATAAAAAAATTATTATGAAGAAGCTGTGTGGGATTTCAATTTAGAGCGACTGAGAGTTGCTGAATGTTCGAGTGAAATTGATATTAAACTAATTCTGAGTTCAACTCATGCTCGAAGTTACTATATAAAATTGAATTAATTTTACTCTATGAGAAAATTAAACGGAAATTTTTGGCGTTCAAATAAAAAAAGAACACAAAATGTTATCCGGTCATGAAGTGTCACACCCACCTTATCGAGGGCTCTCATTGTCTCCTATTAAACTTTATTTAAGTTATATAAAATATACATACCAGGATCAACGCGATGGCAGGAGGTGAACGGATCGCCGCGATAGCCTGTGGGACAACTGCACACGGCAACATGGTTTTTGGGCTGTTGTAATTAAGAAAAATTCAAGAGCAGCAATTATCTCATAATTCATTCTTCAAAAAAATCCTCTACTCACCTCGCAATTGGCATTCAAACCGCAAGCGCCAACACAAGGATTCACGCAGCGATTATCCTTGCACTGCAAATCGCCACGGCAATCGATGTTATCTAAACATTCCCCACGATTACAATGTGTCAACGGATTGCCACTGTGACCAGGTGGGCAAGAACAGACGGGACGACCAGCCGCTTCCTGGCAAACAGCATTTACGCCGCAAGGATTTCCATGGCAGCCATCGGCTGGAGGAAAATGAAGATTAATTTAGGTAAAACGTAGATTTATGTATAATCCGTAATGTTAGAAAAAGTAAAGAGAGCATAATGTGTGTGTGGATGTAAGGCAGTGAGCGCAAAGCGGTAATGATTTAAAATTTTTTTTTATCTTTTTGTTAAAATGATTTGAGAGCTTGCAAAAGAAGAAGAATCTAAAACCAGGCATGAAAGTTCGATCGTAGTAAGAGCGGAATTTGTTTTTGTATTTGCGCAAGTTGTGCAAGCTCGGTGCAATCATGCTTTTTGTGAAAAGAAGAAGTGATTTTACTTTGAAAAAACTTTAGAATTTCTAAATACCACTTGTATCTCGTGCTGTGTATTGGGACGGGCTGCTGGCCGAAGTGTAATATGTACGATACGTGCAGTTCACGCAACGTTTGCCTACATTTTTACCTAAAACCGCTGGAAAACTGCAACTGACGGCAAGTAGTACCAAAGTACTCAAGGCGATTTTCGGCGACTGAAAATAAAAGAGAAGAAAAGTTTAATAAAAGTCTTAAAGTTAGCATAAGACGAGATTTTTCACCATTTTTCCTAAACCGTTAATAAATTGTCCGAGTTAAGTTTTTATATTGAGCTTGTTTTCCATTTAAGGTCAAAAAGGACAATTTGCGGTAAATTAGATTTCCAAGTTTTTAACTTTACTTTTTTCATTTTCCCAACAATTTGTATGCAATGTGCGTACATACATATATTAAACTTTAGTTATTGGTAATAATACCAAATATTTTAATTTTTATTATATTATCTTTGACTCTTTGTTGGCTATTGTGAATGCTACTTTTGACACGAAGAAGTATATCATTTCAATAATGTGACGGAAAGAAAATTGTTGAAAGGATTAAAAATAAATATTAGTAAACTTGTTGCATTAAAGTAACATTCAAGTGTGAATTTCGCAGATGTTTCGAAAAGAGAAAGAGTTATCGGAACTTCTGCTGCAGCGAATCAAGCACAGATGACCTTGGGTGAACGAATTAGTCATATTTGACAGAGCTTTGTCCACATAAGACAAAATTTATTTTATTAACTCCACTATACCTCATGGGTAAGTAGTATTATATATGTATACAGCTAATTTGTTTATTTATTACTTTTGCGCTATTTTGGTATTTGCTTAAAATTGTTAACCATAATTTAATATTTGCATTGTTTAAAGTACATATTTTTTAAATATTTATTTCTCACGTAAAACCCCGGTTCAAATGATGACACATTTACGACACTTTCGATATCTGTATAAATAGACATTTATAATATATGGCAAGATCTTATTTGCAAAACCATTTTTAGAATAGCAACAAATCTTGTTGAATTTACCTGGAAACAATTAAGTTAAAATTCAAGTTCACTGCATTATGTACGCCTACGTAAAATTTGGCCGGTTTTATTAACTACTAAAATGGTTTGATGCTACTTTTTTTTTTTGCATTGCAAGCGATGAATTTTTTGATTCAGAAGTGGAATTGAAAAAATAGTAAAAAAAAAAGTCAATAAATAATAAAAAATTGACGAAAAATCAAATAAGTTAAATTCGATTTGAATTTTAAGAATATATATATATAAATCTTATATAAACTAGTTTAGCATGAAAATAATTGGTAAGCTTTGAAACGAATAATGTTTTTCGAGCTTCAATATATGCCCAAATGTATATATTTGGCGCTTTGTAACCGCTGAAACGATGTTCGGACGAGCTCCTCCTGTAATTTGTGGTATGTTTCTTCAACAACAGGGGCTACAGTTTATACTAAGCCGCCTCCAAATGGCTGATAGTTTTTTTATGAGGAGCTTTACACTTCACTAAACTCGAGGAGGACCGCAGTGAGAAAAAGTAACTTAATTTTTTATTTAAATTAAGTTTGAATATATTTTGAATATTGATTTAACCAGGACTCGAACTCATAGCTTACCTAATGTCAGTACGTAAGGCTAACCACTCGGCTACCGCAGCCAATTTTCAAAAGTTAAGTTAAGTTAAGTTCAAGTTTAATTTTATAACAAAAAAGTATGAAATAAATAATAAATAAAAGAAAATAAAAATATACGTATAATAATGTTAGGAGTAAACTGTGAAAATTGTATTAAAAATATTAGTTACTATTTTAAGACAAAAAAAATATATGAAAAATGAAAAAACCAACTAAAACTTTATATGAAAACGGAAAGAATGAAGCAATTTCGGCAGAGTATTAAGATTAAGTACTAAAAAGACACTTTTTATGTTAGAAATTATAAAAAAAAAACTTAAAACTTAGTTTTTTCATTTTTTGGGTGAAATAATTTTAACAAAAACTATATTTTTTCTTATAAAAACTTTAAACAAATTAACCAAATTCCTAAACAAATGAACATTTATGCAAAATATTTTTAATAATAATAAATATTTGAATTTTTGCTTAAGAAAATTAAAAAAAAATAATTACTAACAATTTCAAAAAAATAAGAGATAATAACAATTCTAAATTGCTAAATATTTCCAAAAAAAAACATTCGCAATAAATAAAAATTAAACCAATTTTTTGTACATTTTTGTTATAAACTAAACAACTAAAGAAAAATATTATGTGTTTCTACACTTGAAATATGTATAAATAATAACAACACCGTCATATGTACATATGTATGTATAAAATTCGCACTGAAAATGGACTTTCAGCGTATCACCTTTTGGCTCTGTATATTTACTCCTCAGACAAAACGCGTCAGAACAATGTACAGACATAGATCTTCATACATAAAGACACACTTAAAAATAATTGTTATAGTTTATCTTCGATATTTTGTGTATCAATTTTTTATTTATTTATTTATTTTTTTTGTTGCATCGTTAAACCCCAAAGCATTGCGTTGGAATTAAAATTCAAGTCACGTTCTGAATTTGTTTACTTTTAGCTCCCAAAACCGTATAATGATTTCAGTTCCAACACAAGCTATTGCGAATTCGAGCGCCGCCAGCGGCAGGAGGAGGACTCACCATTTTGTTTCTTTTATTTTATTTTTTATTACTTTTGCTTAGCGTTTTTCGATTCAACGCGCGCACGAATTGAACTATGTCACACTACAGAATCAGCGGTTCTGATTCGATAAGTAATTTTGGTCTTTTAATTAATTTTTTATTTTTTTTTTTTGCCAATGAAACGACGACTATACAGTGACGCGCGTCTCACCTGGTGAACCACACAAGTGTTTGCGGTTTTCCGTCAATATTTGCCTTTTATACTGCCCAATGCGAGTTTGAGCAAAACCCAGTCGCTCAGACGCTCCTAGCTGGCTCAAACTTGCCGTCTCGCCGCAATACACGCGTGCGCTCAGTAAACAACTCAGCCAAGCAACCTGTGGCCAGGTGAGCGCGTCAACTTGTTTGAGCGTTTGAGCAGCTTTTGCACACAAACTTTCTACGCCCGCTTTGCGTTTGAGCTAATTCTTCTTTTCGGCTTGAGTTGACACCTCACAACAAACAACACTAAATTTAGAAGCGCGGCTTGATGTGGCGATGAGCACGCCTACGCAGGATTCCCAGCTAGAAATGATCAATGAACGATTGAAAGAACAAAAAAACAGCTGAAACAAGTAGGAACAAGTTAATTAGACTTTTTTCTGCGGGAATATGCCCGTATGGCTAAAAGGCTGGTTTGCCATAATTTTTCGAAAAAGTATTGAAGCAAAAAATTGCTAATAAAATAATATTAAAAAAGGCAAATTTGTTTGGCGAAAAGTATAAAATAATTAAATAATTACATTACGAGTATATAGACTTATTTAAAAGAGCTTCGCGATGCACCCGCCGCCTGCAGATCCCCAATACGAGCAAATTAGTTGTACAAGTACTTGCTCCAGGTGGGTTGTAGGCAAATATGGTTGTTCAGCTGAATGTATGTAGGCTGCTGAGCTCGTGTTGCGGAGCCTCACCTTTTATATATATATATATATATATTTTCAATTAATTTATAAGAATTATTGTTAGTTTTACTCGGGAATACTTAATATAATGAGAGAGCAAATCCGAATTGAATTGTGGGAAACAAAAAGCTTAAATAAGGGTTTTTTAGACTGCTAGGCTGTGGCCTCTCACAGAGAAGTTGTGAAAAGCACAGATATCTCAATGTTTTCTGACTCTCCCCGTGGGACGGAACCAACTCGTACCGAACTAAAGGCTTATTAGCATCATCTGGCTCACTTTAAGGTAGAATTACGAGCAGAGATTTTTCTTTGACTAGAATAAAATGTGAGGGTACTTTAAATGGTCCTCTCAGAATATGTTATACTAGTGATTCGCGATTTAGAATTGCTTAAGCGATATTCGACCGAGCTTCTCTCCGTTTGCGGAGTGCATTAAATGGAGGGATCTACGAATTTGAGCTACCTACGAGGTACGCATGCAAGAAAGAGTACTTGTCACTTTAAAGGCATTGACGAAACTAAGCCAACGTTGACTCAGCTGCAGCTATTCTGCAAAAGGTACCCAGTGGTGGAAGAAAAAAAACCTTCGAAGATGAACAACTAGAAGCATTGCTTGATAAAGATTCGTGCCAAACCCAAGACCAGCTTGCCCGAATCGTTGGGAGTGAGTTAGCAAGCAATTTCAAAAAATCTCAAGGCCGTGGGCATGATTCATAAAGAAGGAAACTGGGTGCCGTACGAGTTGAAACCGAGGGACATCGAGCAAAAGTAGTCGAAAAGTACCTGGAAATGCTGAAATGGGAAGTTTTGCCCCACCCGCCTTATTCCCCAGATGTCGCCCCTTCTGACTTCCACCTATTCCGTTCGATGGCACACGGCCTGGCAGATCAACATTTTTAATCCATTGAAGAATTGGAAAAATGGATTACTTCATGGATAGCGTCAAAAGAGGACTCCTTTTTTCGAGCCGGGATCCGAAAATTGCCGGAAAGGTGAGAGAAAATTGTCGCTAGCGAAGGACAATACTTTGAAAAATATTTATATCTGTAAGCACTTTTTCGCAATAAAGCTTTTAATTTTGGAAAAAAAACGGCGGAAGCAAAGTTGTACACCTGATACGAGTATTTATTTCGTAACAAATATTGAAGTTTAATAAATTATTAGGAAAATTATCATTGGCGTAGGCACCGTTTAAAGCCGAATCAATATTAGCGCGCCTTTCCTCTCTTCTTTGCGCTGTCAATAATCATTTAGGTTCTGTCAATAATTACTATTTGCTTGCTGTTGCATAGAATTTTAGAAGGTTAAACCAAAGTTTTCATTACTTGGTAATTTCAAAATGTCATATTTATCTTTAATTTCAACAGCATCATTCACAATAGCAATCAAAACTAAAAGTTGGCTGCTGTTTAAGCGCGTTGATGTCAACTAAATTTGCGCTAGACCTCTTTTTAGTTCTACTTAAAACTGATAGTTAAATATAGTGGATTTGCATTAAAAAAAAGATCTGTCAAAAAGTCTCCTCTAGTACTAGATTTTTTTTTCTTTTTCAATTTCTATTTATTATTGCTTTCAAATCCGATTACTACAAACCATTTAATCCAATATGTCTAAACCTTTATTTGTATATCTCGTTCATCATCTGCTATTCGTCGCACTTTATATTATTTATATTTACATAATAATTTTTATTCGCACAAAATCCCAACAATTTGTCAAAAAATTTCAACTAAAAAATATATTTCTATAATTTAAACTTAAAAGTAATCATAATTATAATTCCTCGCAATTGATTGCCTGGCTATCAATCAAGTGAGTAGAAAATATCCATTGTGCGTAAAACGTGTTGTTGTTTTTTTTTTAAGATTTCAAATTTCCCACCACTTCTGATTCGTCAAAAACACCAAACATATTATGACTTTTCTATAAATACATATAAAAAAAGATTAAAAACATTTCCCTCAGTTAGTTCGTTGTCAATATTTTGCCTATTTTTAGCCAAACACTTCATAGAATTTCGTCTTCGCTCTGTCTGTGACTAATCGCGACTGCGTGGTATACGACGAGCCCCACGCTGCTTAAATATGTACATAGAAATATGATAATGAATTTGTTTGGCATAACTGACGCGCGTTTACTGCTACACAGAGAAATTATTCATTTAATAATGATAAACTCGCATATTCTAACTGTTTTGCGGTAGAAGTGACAGCTGTTTCGGAGATCACCAGATCTCCTCATCAGACATCGAACCAACGGATCCTGACTTAGCAGGTATATTCTGTTTTGGAATTTGAATAAATATTTTAAATTCATTACTAATTTCAAATTTTTGTACTTAAAACCGAAAATGGCAATCCGAAGTTGAACTACTTACATAAGTACGTCTGATACTAGCTTCGATAGTTTTCGATGCAGCCCCATCGATAGCAGCAGAGATACAAGAAGATCTCCACTCCGTTGGAAATATCAGGTGGTGAAGTACCTGGCAGTACTTGGTTTCAAACTTGGCGTCAAATAGCGAAAGGTACGAAGAAATGGGACTCTGTGCTAACTCGGCTGTAATCGCGTAAACGGTGTCTACGGTTGTAGTGAAGAAGAAGAATACCGAACTTAGCTCAAATAATTGTATTCTCGGAATACCCTTTTTATTTAATGTCTCTTGTGTATTTTTTAATTTTACTCTTAGATTTTTTCTGTCCCTTTTATACCGACTGCGGTATATAAGTGGGTATGTTAACTTTGTTCATAACCACAGTTTTTTTGCGTTTTATACCCGGTATGTTGTTTGCAGGTGACCTCGGTAGCCGAGTCGTTTTCATTTCGTGCTGACATTCGGAAGACTCGGGTTCATATTCCGGTGCTACCTACATCCAAAATTAAGTTAAATTTTCTAATTACCGTCGCCCATCGGCAGGAAACGTCCATCCCTCCGAGTGTATTTCTGACATGAAACAAAGCCTCCCCGTAAAAAAATCATCAGCCGTTCGGAGACGGCTTAGTATAAATTGTAGGACCCATCATTTGTTGGAAAAACATCAGGAGCATATTACAGTTTCCTAAATCAAATATCTTGAATCTCTCCAATTTAATTACGGTATATATTTTCTATTTTCTTGCCTGCATTTTTGATTATTCCTAGCGGTTCCGGAGTCAGTCAGCCTTAGGTACCCTTCTCGATTAACTGTATAATCATTTTCTTGTTTCCGTTTTACCAACTCCAATTAGTCAGTTTTACCCCAATTTTGATCTTCCTTACAGTCTTATTTGTAAATAAATACGTATTCGCATACTCAAATATTATCTACGCTTAGCTGAACTCAGTGGTTGGTCTGCAGATTTGTCATATGTCATAGATGACAACGGCAACAACAACATGTGTATATTTCTTTATGGTACAAATCGTGGGCGTAGACAAAAACAAGATAGGAATTGATTAAACACACTAAAGTTGCCGGCCTTTCAAATTGCCAATTATCATCGTTCGTGGATGCGTCAAAAATAAAAAATAAAATAGAAAATATAAAAATAAAAATAACCCACAAGACAAGAATATCGCTCAAGAATAAAAATAAAAAATGAAGAGAATGTCAGATGATATACATACATATTATATATATGCTTAACTAAGTTTATTGATATATCGTTTGGTGGATTATTATAGAGATACAAATATTCATATTTGCATTATATAATCATTTGACAGCTGCTTAAGAAGTCTTTACGTAAGCGATTTCGATTGTTTCTTTTCATGTTGTTTTGCTTTTGTATTATTATTAATATTCTTTATTATTTCTTGGCGATTTTTTGGCTTGAAGCGATAAATTTATGAATTCACGAAGTAACTACCGTAACTCGACGCGGCAGCTTATTGCCTAAGTTATAATTAAGTAATCTTTGGCTATGAATGAATTTATAAATGGCCATGTGGGTGTATGGGCGGCAACTGAATGAAAGCAAATTTGCAAAACTTTGGTTTATTTTTTTTTAGAAAATTTCTCGTACTGTAAGCCTGGCAAGAATATGAGAAAAATATTCTTAAGATTTTGGGTGCATACTATTGTACAATAGTTATAGCGCTTGGTTGTTGTTCATTGTGAATGGTACATAATTAATGAAGAAAACTGACATCGAAATCAACGGATCTTTATTTACTTCCTCTGCTGAATTTCTTTACACCGGTTTCGAAGAATAATTTATTGCATTTACGCTAAGAAAATTTTTAAAGGACATGTTCTAAAATTGTTTAAGTGTGTATTTATCAAACTTTTTGCTTTTTTTTTTGAAAGCTCGATACTAAACTTTAAGTGAAAGCTGCTTTGCAAAATGATCAAATGCTTACAAAAGTAACTCGGGAGTTCTTTGGAAGTTGCGCAGCGAGCGAAATCGTTTGGTGTTAAGAAAATAGGACTAGAATCCAATTCCAATGCGATTTGCTTCTTCCAATCCTTACAATACGTATTGTAGTGTATATATGAGTAGACGCTTACCTAATTGTAATGATAAACATGAACGAATCGACGAGCTTGTGCCAATTTACAGGCTAATTTGTAACAGCAGCAGCTGAATTGAACTAAGGTAAGAAATAACTATTTCAGATATTATGAAGCAAGACTATTTTTGAGTCTGTTTTTACACTCACTCAACAGCAGGATATGGTGGAAATACGTTGAGACTTAAGCAGAAATTTTATTAAGAGTATAAGACCGCGGAAACTTTCCTCAGTGTCTGTTTAGCCGCTGACTTTTCTTTAATGAACCTTTTCTCGAAATTAAAGCTTAGTAGTAGTCCTTTCGAGTGGTTTATGATCACATAAAGAAAAGTTTAGTAAACGAGCTGTTTTAACGAATTGGAATGAAACCGATCGCTCCGATTGGCTCACCCTATAGCGTTGTTTATAAACAACAATTTAATTAATTTTTTGTCTTTTAATATATATATTTATTTATTTTTTGTCTGCTATCTGCTCGAGTGGATATTCGTCGCTTCGAAGATAAGCAGAACGACGTCATCAAAACACCTTCACTAAATGAAAGCTTTGGTTTCTGTAATATTTATTTTCCTACTTTTATTTTGCTTGTTTACGCTTGTTTTGCAGCTTTTCTTGTTTAATTTGCTGACCTCATTAAGGCACAGCCAACACCTGAGCGAGCTATAAAAAGCTCTTCCTAAAAGGCAAGCTTGCTCACAACGCCAACAACCACCTGTATGACTACACACCGGTCGTATGAAATACACATATCTACATACATATATATTAAGCTGTTGTTCAATGCAAAAAAAAATCGAAAATAAAAAATTATTCGCCAAAGTCATTTCCACAAAAACTCAGCTGGAAACGCACTCACACATATGTATCTACATGCAAACAAAACAAATATAAACAAGAAGACGATTTGTACACATAATTGTTTGTATGCATGTATGTATGTCTGTATAAAAATGCGTATACACTGGCATGCAAATTTCGGTTTGTATTGTTTGTATTTTTCCAACGAATGTCTGCTTTTTGTTCTTTTTGCTGTTTTTTTTTTTTTTTTTTTTGCAAAATTAAAACAAAACCGTTGAAGTTCAAGTTCATGAACAATAAATACGTAAATATGATAAAAAAAAAAATTATGTACATACATACATACATATGTGAGAAATTTCATTTCAAAGCAGACAACGACGAATAAGAAGCAGAAAAAGTGTGGCGCAAAGGCTGTAAATTTCGGAATGAAGTATGAGAAATGACTTTTTGTTTACATCCATTAGTTGAAAATGTAAGGGAAAATTATAAAAACAAAAATAGAAAAATTAACACTCTCTCCCCTCTACTTGGCAAAAAGCATACTTTCCGCTTACCTACAAATCGGTTACCTCCGTACGGTTGCTACGTACATACAATAGATACTTAAAACAAAGCGGAGTCCGCCAAGAGAACTCCGTACCCGCGTTTCTATGGCAAGTGATGGCCCTTACCCTAAACCGTTGTCCTTCATTACAGCGACTACACATGCTGTTATTTTTGTTGTCACTTTATTCGTGGGAAGTACCAAGCAAACAAGGCGGCCAAGCAAGTGGGTGTGAGTTCAATGCACAAGAGTTTGGGAGAACTAAACAGATGCCTTTGTAGGGAATGCAGGTGCATATTTTTAAATACCCGCAGCCCTCAGTATAAAGTCAATCTTATTTGAGTTTGTGGTAGTAAAATTGTGATATGAATTGAACTCGCGTCCTACCTCTGCAATGAAAAACGGCATACATGGGGAAATCATTCCTTCGCGTGGTAGCTGGGAGGCGTCTCTGCTGCTGGATAAGCCCTCCTGGCGACCATAATACATAAATACATATTTTGTTGTGTATGTTGTTACTCTCTACCTTGGAAAGAATCGCGTTTGTAAACCGACTGCAGGAAGGCCATAGGATGTGTAATGACACACTCATTAACCTTCGATTTTCGACTGTCGGAGTTCTTACCTCGTGGACTTTGGCATTCAGTTCTGGCCGTACTCTTCGTCTAGCTGGTGAACAAGGTCGCCCTGGGAGTCACACCACAATGTTTTTCATTCATCAGCTAATAAGATCAGACAAACTCCCGCAGGAGACTTCGACGTGAAGCAGAACTGTGTGAGGACAACACCCTGCAAACTCCGTGTTTAAGTTGGAAGGTTTGTCTTAACATCCCGACAAGCTTAGGATATACGCAAGTTTCTTAAGACGTAGTAAGAAAATCTAAGTACTCCATTGGAGTGATCAGTTGGTTGGTTGGTCCAGGTATGGTAGGACTGACAAAGAAGTAAAGCATTTTTTTGAAACAACACAGCGCGTGAATTTCAAGGTTACCTAGAAGAAGCTCTTGCATACGAGGTTGTCTTAAAAAAATCTAATTCAGTAAACTGATGGGTATAATTATAATTTACTTTACACATTAAAAGAGTTATTTGGCAACCTTACCTTTTTTCGATATTCCCAATCATCAGAAAACATACCACGTGAAATTACCAGGCGCGCAGCTTACGCGATAGCATACCTTGCTCGCGACAACTATAAATGCGAAGGTTATGTATATTACGTGGCATACTTTTAGGCGCATTTTTTGGGGTTATTTGCATAATATTCCTCTTCGTGTTATTTCTTCGACATTTTTCGAAGATTAATGCTAATGGCAAAGAACGTATATTAATTTATTGAATTTAATTTGCGAAAGAAGGTCCAAAGCGGACACTCATTCTGTCTGTGAAGCCTGAGCCACTTCAATGAACAGTTCACAGTTCTTTTCCCTTCTTATTAATATACGTTCTTTGGTTGTAAGCAGTAAGAAGGCAAAATGAAGCTGCATTTTTGAAGAGGGTTGCCAATCATTGTTTCTCTATAAATTTTTTCTACATAGTCAAAAAAAAATACCTCTCTTCGACCTTTCACCATAACCACAAAACTAAAAGAGAGTAACGCATATTTCGATTTACATAATTCTTTATTTTTACTTTATATTTAAGACTTATATGAAATATATTGTAATTAATAAAAAATAGTACGAGTTCTTTTCGACAAACACGCATATATATGTACATAATAATAAATACATGCATGCATGTACGTGTATGTATGTATATGTGTATATATATTTAGACTTTTCCGATCTTACTTTCGCTCTTACTCTTAAGTATTATGCATTTAAGCTGTTCATATGTATGTATATGTATAGACTTGACCACTTTAGCCCGCTTATAATGTATATATATACTATATATATGTATTTGCATTTGGATGTATGCCAGTAATACAACATGCAACTTCATTATACGCAAAATTCAATAATTGTATATATATATATATATATATGTATGTTTGCAAATGACATTTGACGTACATACATATTGTGTATTTATTGTGTGCTGTACATAATTACAAAATTTTACAGCTGCTTGCATACATAAACTTACATCTTAAATATTTTATTTGACGCAAAAATAAGATTTTTATTAATTATTTTTAATTAATATATTTATTGTTTGTTGTTCTTTAGGGGGAGCGGTGGAAACACCATTTATTTCTTTACAAATATATATGTACACGTATGTATGTATATTTTGACGTTACACATATGCTTAACTATGTATGTATTACATGAAAAATATATGTATGTGTATATAGCGCGTGTATATTGGTAAAAAAAAACAAAAATTTATATTTAAAGTTAAATACTATTATATTAATATATAATGTATATATACATTCTTTTGTAATTATTTCTTTCTCACTTATTAGTACATAAAAGCAATAAAAATAACAACAAATATTAAAGTGTAAAACAATTGAAGTGAAAACACATAAAAAACATTTTTTGTAAAAAGTTTGGAAATATTTTTTTTTTTTTTTAATTTAACTAGATAATTGTTTTAAAACTTAAATTTTAAGTTATGCGAAAAAAATTAACATAAAAACAAAGTTGTAAAACAACGTTTCTTCAACATAGTTTTAAAAAAAATATTAATTTTTAAAAAGTGTAAATACTTTTTAAATTATTTATTTGCATTTTTTGTTGTTTGTGTATATACATATAAATTATACATGATAAAAAGTTTGACAAATACAGCTAAAAATAATAAAACTTTTTTAAGAAGTTTTACGTATAACTTAGTTGAGAATTGTGTGCAGCAAAAGCAACATGAAGTGAAAATGAGTGAGCAACACATTAAGCAATTTTCAAAATTGGACTATTTTAGTATTCATATTTTTTTTTATTGAAATTATGAATATAAAAATTATAATTTATTTATACTATTTTTTTATGTTATTACTTATTTATATTATTGACTTATATTATTTATATTATTATTTATTTATTTCATTTATTTTTTGATAAATTTTGGTTTAATTTTTACCATTAAAATTTTATTTCGCAAAAAATTAGACTTTTGTTTTGCAATTTTTTTTATAAGCTTTAAATTGCTTGCCACTGGTATTTAAATATTACATACGTATATTATATACAAGCATATATGTACACAATCATGTGTTAATAGTTCAGGTAAAAAAATATGTACAAACATGCATTTCAATATATAATATATTTTTAAGAAAAAATATTTCTAGTTTATTTATCTTTTATCTTTAATAATAATGTATGTATATAAATTTATTTACTGCAGATTTTGAGTTTTTTTTTATTTAACTGTTTAAATTTTTTATAAAATTTTGTATGGATTATTTTTGAAAAAAAAAAACATTTTTACATTAAATTTTGCGCTTTGTTTTCTACCTATGTTCTTTGTTAGAATATTAGCTATTTACTTGTATAAAAAATTTTGCATTTGTAATGAACAAATTTACGTACATACCTACATATATGTATCTTACACACAAATTTTTATATAAAAAATGTTGTTTACAAAATTTTATAATACGATTTTAACCATTTTTTTAACTGTTTACAATATTTTCTTCATTTCAACCGACTTTCCATGACTGGAAAGAAGCTTTACATAAAAGGAGATATTAAAACCGCACTTATTCGATTTAAAAAAATTAAATCGTTAAAACTTAAATTTGATACAAAATAAAAATATCAAAAAAATCATATATGTACATACATATGTAAGTGTGTATATATATGTATGCATGTACATATTCTATATATGATTTATTAAAATTTTCTGACAAAAATCTGAAAGCAAATATCACAAATTTAAAAAAGCATAGATACATACACACGTTACATTTATACAATTAAATGTAAGCAGAATTAGTAATAAAATCCTCTAAATAAAAAATAGTCTAATAAAAAATAGCAAAATATTTTCAAAAAAAAATATCAAAAATTTAAAAAAAAAAAACAAATTAAAACATTTTAAGATTATAATTATTAAAAAACTTACAATAAAAAACATTAAAACAGTTTGATGAAAAAAAAAAATAATAAAATTTATTTATAAAGCAATTAACGTGCAACAAATAATTACGAAAACTCTTTTCATAAATGCAATCAAGTTAATTTTAATTTTATTTGAAAAAAAAAAATAAATTTTGCCATAGAAACTAGATGTTCGAAACTAATTTCACTTTCATTTCGACGTTTTTTTTTTTTTTTATTATTTATATTTATAAATAATCTTAATTTTTTATTTTGAGTTATTCAGCGTTTTTTACACGAAAACCAATTGCACATTACATCACGTTGTATAAATTTATTGTAAATAGTCTTAAGGTGATTTGCTTTTTTTCGCACACACAAATACAAAAAAAAAGAAACAAATAAAAACAATTTTTTCCTCACACTCTTACGCTCTCACAAGTCTTCGTTATGCAATAATTATATTAATATCTAAAAGGCTTATTTCTAAGTTGTTTATTTAACTGTAATTATTACTATTCTCTACTGTTGTTTATTCTAATCTATTTTTTTTTATTTATTTATTTTTTTTTTATTTTTTTTTATTTTATTTGTTTCGTTTTATTTTAATTTATTAATTTATTTTTGTTGCCTTATTGTAATTTATTTCACTTTATACTTTATTTCATAAAGTTTGTTTTATTTCCTTTTTTAATTTAATTTTTTATTTGTATTTCAATTTATTTCATTTATATAAATTAATTTTTTTTATTTTAATTTAATTTTATTTTATTGTATCTCAATTTATTGAATTTTATTTTATTTATTTTTTTATTAAATTTAATTAATTTTGTTTATCTTAATTTAATTTAATTTTATTTTATTTATTTTTATTAAATTTAATTTCATTTATACTAATTTGTTTTATTTTTTATTTCATTAGGCTTTTATTTTAATCCATTTAATTTAATTAATGTTTTTATAATTTGATATTATTTCGTTTTTATTTTTTATATATTATATTTTTTAATTTTTATTTATTTATATTTTTAAATTAATTATTTTTTTTTAATTTTTATTTACATTATTCACTGCATTTCGCAATTCTTTTGCTTTACAATATTTGGTATATACATATGTACATATATGTATTTGCTTTATTTTTACTCCAACAATTCTCAACACGGAAAAGGACTCACTACGTAAAAAAGAGTTAGGTTATATTGTACATAAATATGTATATAGAGATTTTATGTTGTACCACACATACATACGTAGATAACCGCTTATGCATGTGTGTATGTATGTACGCATATAATTTGTTTTTTTTTTTTCTTTTTGTTTATTTTCGAACACCAAGCATCAGTAATATGCGCCATCATCATAGTTACATATGTACATGTATTTATGTGCACTGTGTGTATGAATGTATGTGTGTATGTGGCTACTGTAGGCAACAGCATAGCGTTGTTAATTGGAAAAATTATATGTATATAAATTTTATTTTATTTTTTATTTTAAGGTTAAGTGGTAGGGAATTATGTGTAAATTAGAAGAATTTGAACTTTTGTTTTTGTTGTTTGTAGGGTTTCTCTTGTTTTTGTTATTGTTACGAATGCTGCTAATTGAGTAAAAAAAAAAAAAACAAAACACAGAAACCAACAGTACCTAAACGCTCACCGCACCGACCGGGCCTGCTGCGCTGCCAACGCATACCTGCAGCGCTGAGCCGCGAATTAACAACTTACAGTTGCTTCTCCAACTCATTCAGCATAGCAACATTCGGCTCCAGATAACTACTCGCCACCGGCAGAGTGGAATCGAGCAAGGCAGTATCGACGCTCGGAGCTGCATCGAGCTCTTGTGGGGGCAACGAGAGCGGCAGAAAAGGTTCATATATGCCATCCTGTAAAGCCGGCAGCTGCGGCTGTTGGTGCGGTTGCTGTTGCTGTTGCTGATGCTCCTGCATGTGCACATCATATTCATTCCTTATATGCAAGAGCTGCTCGGCCTGACGCTGATGTTCGTTAAAAATGTACTCCAACTGCTGGTTGAAGGCACTTGGCACACTTTGTGGCAACAGTTGGGCATGTTGTTGGCACAAATTACGCGCGTTTTCCTCTATGCTCTGCAATGATTGATCGATATTCTGCAGCGAGTGGCTGATCGCATCCTGCATTTGGACAGGCTGCGCCAGAAGCGTTGCTGTGGTCAGCGTTTCTATGTCACTTGGCGGTAAGGACGACGACGACGAGGGTTGACGACGTTTCGTTGGGCTTATGTCCAGCTCTTCAATGTTGGTGCGGCTAAAATGCCTTTTATTGTTGTTGGTGGTGATGCCGCTGCTGTCACTAGCGTAGCCATTGCTAGTGCAAGCGCTGTTGTTGTTGCTGGTGTTGCCATTTAAAGTGGCTGTTGTTCGCAAACGCTTCAAGACCGTCGTGTGCCGCTGCTGCTGTTGCTGCTGCGGGCGTAACTGTTGTTCTTGTTGTTGTTGTTGTTGGTGTAAGCTATCACTCTCACCGTTGCTAACACATGCCAGTCGATTTGTTGCATTTGTTGCTGTCGTTGGCGCTGTTAGCCGCTGCTCCAGGACACTGCTCGTCCCTTGCGGGGTCACGGGTGTCTGCGCTATATGCTGCGGCAATTCCACCAACGTCGCAGCCTGCCGGCTTGTGACGGCTTGCGTGTTCAACTGCAGCACACTCGGTCGCTGCACATTTACAGTTGCCGACGCAGACGTCGACGCTGCCTCAGCAGCGGCTCTACTAGCAGCTGCTGCCGCCGCGGCTGATGTACTGGGATGCATATTCAAAGGCGAACCAATGGCATCATGGCCATCATCGCTGCTATAACTACAGGGTGACATGGTCACATCACTATTACTATACACACTACTCGGACTTTGCAACTCGAACTGTCTGCGCATATTCCGCATATTTAAGTGTCGATTTTTGGTCGCCGTCTTTACAACCGCCACCGATATGGCGATGGTGGTTTTCACCGAGGCGGGTTCGGGCGCTACCAACGAGAGTAATGGGGTGCCCGTTCGTTCGTTGTCCGCCTGTGTGCCGGTATCCTCACCACAGCCGGTGCCATTCCGGTTGTTGTGTCGTGTCTGTAAATTATCCACCAAATAAAGTACGATTCGTTCCAGTTGCTCGGCATTCGAGCAGGCCGGTACATCCAGCGCGTAATCGCGTTCAGGTGTACTACAGGTATCCGAAGTAGCACTAGTAGTATCGGCTATCTTGTTTTGCACAATTGTCGAGAAGCTCTTCTTCATCATGTCTATGTAATAGCGACCCTCCTCTTCAGACAGCAGCGTATTCACACAGACGAAGGAGTAAATATCCCGCTTGCCGCCCACGTAATCGTAATAACCCTTCGAATGCAGGTATATATAGTTGCCATTGCGTGTGACCAGCCGATAGAAGCTTTCGCCGTGTGCCATATTATTATCGTACATACGACGTAGCGCGATAATTACCCAACGTACATCCTCCTCGTGTATGAATGTGAAGGGACTGAGATTGTAGACCTGAAAAGAGCAGATGAGATGGGAAATTCATTAAAAAAAAAGGAAGTAATGTGGAAAGAAATATAGAAATACAGAGAGGAAGCTTAAAAATCTAAGAAACTCAGGGCATCGGGTTCAATGCTCTGTTACGAATGACCGGCTGCTGAACAGGTAAAGCCAGAAAATAAGTGCAAGGGCTGAGAAGAACATGGACTGTGTCGTGCTAAAACTCCTAGGAGGGAGTATGTCCAGTACACAAGAGCAGCAATGGCTGAGGGTTCGCACGTCAATGGCTCTTAGTTGAGTTAAGTGGTTGAAACGAGGCTGCCTACCTCGCAACATTGCCATCGACCTCTACACGTACGGGGTGAAATTATACACCGAGAATTGCAGAGAGACACAAGGAGCACTGCAGACAAAAGAAGATAGAGTCAGAGATGCTTGGGTAAGCTTGCCGACAGGGCTAATCCTCAAAAATTCTACAACACTGCGGTGACTACAGAAGATTTCAAAACCGGAGCAAACACTTGTAGGACTCAGAGAGGTGATCTAGGGGCTGATGCCGATTATACTGAATATTTGGAGGAAACACTTCTTCAGTCTGTTGAGTGGCAGTGCAAATGGAAGACCAACAAATGAAGAACCCGAACCCATTAGATTGTCCGACTATGAAGAAGTTCGAATAGCAATTCCCCGCTTCAAAAATTAAAAAGCAACAGCGTCGATGGATTGCCAGCCGAGCTATTCCAATACTGTGACGAAGAACTGACAAGGAGTTAGAATCCGCTTCTTTGTAGAATGTGGTCGGATGAATACATACCCGATGATTGAAACCTAAGTATTCTCCGCCTGGGGGGCCTACAGTCTGTGCCAGTTAACTCGCCGTAAGCCACTTCAATATCGCATATAACACCCTATCGAAGACTACAGTCCACCGCCAAACAGCTTATTGGACCTTATCGATGCGGCCTTAAACCTGAGAAATCCACCACTGACCAGATATTCACGATGAAAATTCCCGTGAAAAGGTGACCGCCACACATCACCAGTTCGTCGATTTGAAAGCAACCTTCAACAGCACGAAAGGAACTGCCTCTACGCTGCTATGTCTGAATTTGGATTCTCCGCAAAATTTAAACGGCTGTGTAATTTAACGTTAAACATTACCAAGAGCTCCGCAAGGATCAGGAAGAACATCTCCGAACAGTTCTTTAATATTATATACTGCTTGAGAAAATAATGCGAGCTGAAGAGCTGAATATAGAAAGTGCAGTCTTCTAAGAGAGACTGGCGTATGCCGATGATATTGATATCATTGATGTCAATAACCGCGCAATGAGTTATGCTTTCTGCAGACTGGTTAGGGGAGCGAAGCGTAGTGAACGAAGACAAGAAGAAATATCAAACACACAGTCAGCGCATTCGCGACTCGGCTAACACGTCACTGTTGACAGTCAAAACTTCGAGATCGTAGATAATTTCGTCTATCTAGGAACCAGCATTAATACCAACAACCTAGAAATCCAGGGTAGAATCACTCTTGCCACTCCTGCTATATGGTGCGGAAGCATGGATGATGACAACATGTGATGACTAGGCTCTAGGAGTCTTCGAGAGAAAAGTATCGCGCATTGGCAACAGCGAACACCGCAGACGCATGGCAACATTGACACTGTTCAGCGAATCACGAGACAGCGGCTACGCTGAATAGTTAATGGGGTCCGCATGGAAGAGAACACTGCAGCTTTCAAAGTTTCGGATACAGTGTCCGCCGGTGGGAGTAGAGGAAGATGAGGATTCCCACTCCGTTGAGAAGATCAGGAGGAGAAGGATCTGGCTACACTTAATAGTTCCAATTGGCGTCAAATGGCGAAAAGAGGGAATGAATGCTGCTGTTGCTAACTCGGCAACAATCGCACAAGTGGTCTCTACGCCAGCAAAGAAGAAGACAACAAAGAAAAGGGAGGAAATTTTCCGATTACAATGGCAACGATTAATTATTTGTAAACAATTTATACTTTTTTCTGCTTGAAAATTATATAAAAATTAAATTAAGTCAATATACATATATGTATCTATGTATACATATATATTATATTATATTTTATTTAACTTTGCTTGGGTGTATTGACAAATCTATAGATAATTTATTTCATAATGTTTGCATTAGGCTTATCTTGATTACCGTTACTTGTAAGTTTCACAGTAAGGAAAAAAAAACATTATTTAAAAATAAATTTTTATAATACCTTACAATTACAATTACATACACATACATATGCACATACATATTGACATCTCAACAGCTAATATACACGTATGTATGTATGTACATATCACCATCCATCACCGGCAAACGGCTTAAACAATTTTATTTGCAAAAAGAAAAAGAAAAAAGTAATAATTCGTACTGATAGTGCACTTTTCGCCCTTACTACTATTTTATTACTACTTTTTTTAATACAAAAAAAATAAAAAAATATGGTCTATAGCCTAAAAAGTACACTTTAACATTGAAAAAAAAATATAAATAAATAAGTAATAAATAAACGACACCAACACAAACTATCTGCTCTAATAACAAAAAATCAACCGGTTTGTTGTAGAAAAAAAATAAAATAAAATAAAATAAAATAAAATAAAATAAAATAAAATAAAATAAAATAAAATAAAATAAAATAAAATAAAATAAAATAAAATAAAATAAGAAATTAAAAAAAAATAAACGCAACAGAAGAAAGCCCATGACTAGAGAAGAATTCGATTTTAATCAAAAGTTAATACAGAATAGAAAAGAATGTTTTTTTTTTTTTGCTTAAAAATTGTCTTGTTTGACAACAAAGCTGAAGGGAATTTCTGCTGAAAGCGAGAAACAAGTGAAAGAGCGCGATAAAATCTTCAAGACTTTTTTTTTTTTTAAGGTGAATTTTATTATTTGATTTGACGAGCAGAATTATAAAATATGGATGTAAAATATACAATGATTTAAATAAAAAAAAAATATTTTAATAATAATAGAAATAAAAAAGCAACAATACGAATAGAACAATGATAAAAAACGAATGAAATAGATTAGAGTAAAACAGAATAAAATACAATAAAAAAAATAATAATATAAAAAATTAAAATTAAAAAAAGCATAAAATAATATAAAAAACATAATAACAACATAATAATAAATGCAATAAAATAAATTACTACCGTTAGATAAGCCACAATTATTAAAGCACCTAAAACAAAGTAAAATAAAATAATACAATATACATAATACATAATAAAAAAAATTAAACGGAAACAAATAAATAAATGAAATAAAACAAAAGAAAATATAGCAAAAAATAAAGCATTAAAAATGCAATAAAAGAAAGTATTAGAAAATAAAATAAATAAATAATTTATAAACAAAAATTAAATAAATAATTTATAAAAAAATTAAAATAAATAAATAAAAAATTAATATATAAAAAATAAAAATAAAATGAAATACGATTAAAGAATACAACAAAAACCAACTACAATAAAATAAAAAGAAATGAAAAATAAAATAAAATAAAATTTAAATAAAATGTAAAAGAAAAATTAAATTAAGGGGACCCTTCCCTTGATATTGGGCGAAAATCAGGCAAAGTTTGTATTTTTTTTTTTTTTTTTGTGGGAGAATGAAATGGCGTACGAACTTTCGGTTTTGACTACTAAATTAGTTTTGGAATTTCAAAATGGCAAAAAAATTGTCGAAATTCCAAATGACGGCTACAAATTTGCCGTTGGCCTCTGCGCGAAAAACATGCCCCAACATCTGAAGATCTTGAAATTCTCTACGTCCTGAACTTCAATTGAAACAATTTTAACGATAATTTATTACATAATGCTCATTGAAATTATAAAGTTAAATTTTTTACTATTTTTTTTCACTTTAATTACATTAAAAATATATAAATAATTAATTATTAATGCTAATCTTAGATTCAAGACGTAAAAAAAACTATTTACTTTGTAACAGTTTTTAGATAAAAGAAATCGAACGGATAGGTCAAGCTCGGGGCTTGAAGTTAGATCGGAAAACATGGTTTCGAGAAAAACGCGTTCAAAGTTTTTTAAAGTTCGCAGCGTTGCTTGAGATAGGTGTGTTCGAGAAGCTGCCAAATATATGGCTTTCATTTTTTGAGTGAAAGAAATCGATATTTTGATCCAAAATGTAGGGAGGGTGGCCCCCATAAATTAAAGAAAATGAATTTAACTGCAAAAAAAAGAAATAAATAAATTGAATAAAAATAAACAAAACATAAATTAAATTATTCAAACAAAATTTATACAAAATAAAATATAACAAAAAACAATTAATTAAAAAATTAATAAAGTAAAATTAATATAAATTAAATTAAATTAAAAAAAAATAAAATTAAAAAATAAAAATATATAAATAATTAAAAATAAAATTTAATAAATTAACCAAATTGAAATAACGTTAATAAATTTTTAATAAAAAAAAACAACAACAAAAATAAGATGATCCACAATGTGGAAGGCCAATCAATGGTCGAAAATGTCAAAAAAAAGTAATGGAAATCGACGAGTCTAAGAGTCATGCAATAGCCATTTCGATTGTTCGGAAGCTAAATAAAGCACAAAAAATAGTTAGGAAACACTTAAAAATGCTGGATACACAAAAAAGATCGAGGTATGGATGCCACACGAGTTAATGATAAAACTCCAGCCAGCAATTGGACCGTCTGAAGGAAGGAATCGCCCAGAAGCGGCCAAAAGGAGGCAAATTTTGTTTCATAAGGACAACACCATGGCGCATATGTATATCGATAGTGACTCGGCAAAAGCTCTGAGAGCTTGGGTGGGAGGTTGCTATGCAGCCACCTTATAGTCTGAACTTCGCACCAAGTCATTGCAATCTGCTCATGTCTATGGCGAATGATTTGGCAGGCGAAAATTCCAATAGGGGCAAGGATTTCTATGAGGGAAGAAGTGTAACTATATATCACCTTCGAAATGGGAGAAAGTTAACGAGA